ACGTCTGTCGCTGCATCTGCTCCGCCTCCTCGTACTTTCCCTGTTGCCGAAGCACCTCTGCAAGGTTGTTCGTGCTGTCCAGTGTTGAGGGATGCTCATCTCCGAGTACCTTCTCCTTTAGATCCAACGTCTGTCGTTGTATCTGCTCCGCCTCCCTGTATTTTCCAAGTAAGGTATAACTTTCAGCTATTTTGAAGAGAAGGTTCGTATCAGCTTGCTCCTTAACGTCATGCTCTTGAAAACTAACCGCAGCCAAAGCGTGCGGTAAGTATTGTCGCCACACGTCCCTATTCTCGTGGACAGGGAAGGGAAATATACCTGCAAGCAGCTGTATCGTCTTTTTGATCCACTGCTCCTGCTGACCTTCCTCCTGCAGCCAATTTCGCATGGCTAGTTGTACTAGTCGATGTACGTCAAACGAATGGCGATCCTCTCTTTCGGTGATGAACGCATATGCTTTTAGGATCCCGATCGCTTCGTCCACCTCTAGTTCGTCATTCCCCTGCGAAAACAACGACAATGGGATATCTTTGTCGATAAGAAAGCAAATCAACCGCAGGATGTCTGCAGCAAGTGGCTTATCCCGTAGAATATGGTTGAATGACACAAGCCACGTCGTAGCTATTGCACTGTTCATGCGGTTGTAACGACCTTGATACTCAGTCTCCCGGCTTAGTAACATAATCAACCTCATATCGCTGGACCGACAATGCTGGAGGTACCTAGTGGTCGACATTCCGGTCTTGGCCATGTATGCGGACGCCTGCTTGATGGCTAAGGGTAAATGAGTTAGTAATTCAAGCAGAGCTGTGGTGCTGTCGCTATCACGTGTTTGACTTTCCTTTAAATTCGTCTGTAACATTTGAGTGGCTTCTGCGTCGGTCAATTCCTCTGCCGTAATGATGTTCCGCTGGGGGATGTTAAGCTCCGCAACGACTCCATGGTTTCGTGTAGTGAATAATATCGAGCCCTTTAGACTGGAGGGAAAATAGTCGCATAGTGCCGTAGTGGCAAAGAGGAGTTCCACATCGTCAGCGTTGTCAATAATCAGGAGCCAGCTACCACAACTTTCTTGGCTCATTGCATTCTTGACAAGCAATTTGATATCGGCCCCGTCCTCCTCGATCCCCGGTACCTGGAGCTTCTGGCCAATCTCACGGTATGCATTCTCAAAACTGGTAACATCCACGGCAGGAACCCAGAACACGGAACAGTTTTGATATTGGTCACGAACTCGAAATGCGACCTCCAGCGCCATCTGAGTCTTGCCTACGCCCCCAAGGCCTTCGATGGCGGTACGTTGGCAGTTATCTTTGTCCACGTCAGGAGGAATTCGCTCAAGAAGTCGATTTATGACGTCTCCCCGACCTATGAAGTCCCGATTTCTCCCAAAGGGGACTAACCAGTGGGACCTATGAGGAGCTGAGAAACGTCGGTTAGAGATGGTTATACTAGTGGGAAAAACTACAACAATGGAACATTTATACTAACCTAAATCAGTGGCTGCGTCCCCTCCGTTCCACTCCGCCAAAAAAGCCTTCGTGCACGCTGCTGCCGTTGCCGCCGCGTATCGTTGCCATCCTTTTCTTTTGTGGCTGTCGGCATAGTCGCACACCCCTTTGATGATAATGCTCGGGAAATAATCCCATACGGCTGCCCCTTCCATTTCGAAACCAATGATTCCATCCGCTTGCGCCATCCGGTCACGGTGTTGTCCCGATTTCATCACGGTGTTCCCCGAGCCCATGATACCGAAGTGAACCTCGGGTTGCGTTGTCGAACTATCTCGATTGCGAGTCACTTGCATGATAGACTCACACCCCAAGTCTTCGCATTCAGTCTTGATGGCTACTTCACATATCTCCTCGTGATTTCCACACTTATCGCACATCGCTGGCGAGTGGTGCTGGTGCACATATGATGAATGGTAGAGGATGTCATTCTCTTGGCCTGGACGCTTCGTCTTCGGCAGCTTCCGCTGAATCTCTTGGAGAACTGTGGTGATGTTATCTTGCATCCTTTGCTTGTACCGACTGGTCGCTAGCTTAGCCTCGATAGCTCGAATATCCGGATTCGGTCGACCAAGAGTGTCTCGAACGTCATCTTTCCTCTTGAATCCCCATGGATACTGTCTCCCAAAATCATATTGGATGAGTGCTTGACTGATGATGACATCGCCGAGCAAGATCTCCTCTCGATTCGTCCCTGAAGGTATCCCTCCACAAATGCCGACCACTAGAGCTAGCTTGATGTTTGGAAAGCTCACGCGCAGGGAGCCCGCCACCGCCGCGGCACTAGTGGTCCCCATACTGGGCATGTAGGCTAGAACCACATTGTGTTCGCCTATCACCCCAGCCGTGTAGGCGTTAAAATCCCCCGGGGTTTTCCAATATTTCTTGCCCTCATCTTCCCAGAACTTGTCAAAAACTTCTTGCACACATTCAGCTTCCAGCGGCAGGGCACAGATCAGCGCGATTTCGAAGCCGCCGCGATCGCTGGGGGGTTTGACGGGCATCGTTGTGTGGCTCAGGATAGCGCAAGAGAGGGCCACGTTGGGGGGTTATTCGCTTCTTGACGACATCAGGACGGCATCGTATCAAATTAAAAGACCATTAAGATTAAATGCAGTATTAGAATGATTCGCGTGAGAGATGGCAGACATCTCACAACCACGCGGCTGAGATCAGGCTGAATGCGGTCGAGGCTCATGGCAATGCACCATGAACAGCTTCCCCCGCCGCTATTACATACTGTATGCCACATTTTTGAAAGTGCACTCAGCAAACAACAAAGGGCTATGCACATTGTAGAAAAGTGAAGGTTCTCCCCTCGTTCAACCACACGTTCATGTAGGCCGATTTTAGGGATTATAAAAGGGATAATCGAGCGTTCACCACACAATTTGTGGGGAGCGCCCACAGGTCAAAGCGCTTCCCGATTTGTCGAGGGTAAGTTAAAGCAGCAGGAGGCAAGGGAGGAAAGTTGGTCACGTGCTGATAGCCGTCAGTGCCGCTATTGGCACTCTGATATGTTTCGAAGACGCCCTCTGCGAGCACGCAGAGGGCTGGCTGCTGGCCAGTGGGACGATGGATTCGCACCTTCTCGCGGTGTCCGGTGTGAGTACCTATTTCGATGAGGAAACCAAGACGAATCCAACGGCAAACGGGGACGTGCTGGCAGCTCAGGGGTTGCGCGTCCTGCACGACGACGACAAGTACGACAGCGCAATGAAGTCAAGAGAGTTCCAAAGAGGTGGAATGGATAACGCCGCTGGGATACAATGTCAAGGGTTACACAGTGCCGTCCTCCCTCCAATAGTTCTATCTCAACGACCTCGACCATCATCTTCAGCATAAGCCCTCCGACTTACTCGTGCAGTTGTCTGCACTGTGGGGTAAGCCCTCAACACGACGTTAAAGGACTGTTGTGGCCCAACAAATGACTGTATAGGGAATATGGTTAGGACTTTGACTGAGTCGAGGGTCAACGCCAGTAATAGCTAGAATCTGCAAGTTAGCCTGCAGCCTGTCATGGCCAAATGGGCGTAAATGAATCGACTTCCCACCAAACCCATTTCGATCCCGACGCTCACGTCTGTGAGCTAAATCTCTCCATGCAGGGCCTAAAATGGATCCTTCGATGGGAGCCCAAACGGGCTTCAACACTTGTGCAAACAGCTACGGCTCGCTTCTGAGGTGCGAGCTGTCACGGGATGTACCAACGAAGGGTAAGGGTGCGTTACGAGGGGGTGTAAGTGTTGGCAGTCCGCATTGGGACTAGCCTAGTCACGTGCACCGCAGCCTTCGTGGCCTTTTTGTAGGGGGGGTATTATTCTGTACACCAACTTTTGTTATTCTGTACACCGGAAAACCTGCTTATTCTGTACACCATGCCTCAACTCTCCTTATTCTGTACACCACCACCTCTCTCTCGCCTTATTCTGTACACTTAACGCTCTCATCCTGTTATTCTGTACACCGCGCTAACAGAGCTTGTTGCCGTTGGCCCGGCGATGGCGAGAAAACACTAGTAAGTGGCGTAGCTGTGGAGGGGTGACGCGTTAAACTCTCCCCGTTATAGGTGGTTGCGAAGCAATAAACACATTTGATTCCCTTTTCCTTGGTAGATAAGTACCGTGCATTTTGAGCTTCTCTGTATACTTTGTAAATTATTGTGGCCTACACAGCCGGATTTGTGTAGAGATCCCCTGCACGGTCGATACCTCGTGCTGACTAAGGTAACAAACCAGCGCCCATAGGCTTGGGAGGACCGCTCATAAGCCGGAGGGGGAAACCGCCCATGAACCGGGGGGAAACCGCCCATAAGCCGGGGGGCAACTGCCCCGCTTATGGGCGGTTCCCACCCAAGCCTATGGGCGCTGGTTTGTTACCTTAGTCAGCACGAGGTATCGACCGTGCAGAGGATACCATCGTTAACCATCATTTCTGCATTCTATATAGGCAGACTTAGGTGTTGTGACATCACGTATCTTCGAACTGCGCAGATAACCGGAAAAATAAAAATCCGGACCAATCAAAAGCGGTGTACAGAATAACAAAATGTGGTGTACAGAATAACATTACCCTTTTTGTAGCTTGCGCCTCGCTCAGATCAATCAATCCTCTCTCGGTCCTACAGTAAGGAGCGCTGCGAGTGCACAAGGTAGGGTATGGAATGGCAGTGTAAGGATTCGAAGGCTCTCATACATTTCGATCCTTTCATCTCTTGCCCGTTTTCGGCGTCCAGCCCCCTTTCCGTCTTCCTGCCACTTCTACTATGGCTGGGGATACGATTCGAGAGGCTGGGAACTCTGTTCGATGGCTAGAACCTTCCGTTCGCGGCGTGGTGTGTCGAGGTGTTGCATTTCGTGTTGTACACCGTGGGTGTTAAGAGTACACGATTACGATTAGAGATGCGAGAGAAGATTTAACAGCGTGAGGCGACTGAACTTGAGAAGGCGCAGCGAGTAATCGCCCTACAAGAGCGACGAGAAGAGACTCAGCGCAAAAAGGAGCAAGATAGGCTTAACAGGCAGACCGAGAAGGCCCTTCAACAACAATAGGCTCCTCGTCGTCGTCGAGAGAGTATCTACTCTCGGGGAATCAAGGGTAACAAAAGTGTCAACAGCGACCTCAACACCATTCCAAATCCCACCGGAATTACTACGGACACTAAAGTTCAATTGAAGTATCTATATACGCGAAATTTGTATTATTTTCACGTCGTTTGGCGCCCCGAGGCACTCCGCCTCAAAACAGCCTATACCGAAATTCGGGTTTTGGTGTTCGGCACGCGCTAACGCGCGTGTTTGATGGCGTAGCCACTCAAATTGGAAGGCCAAAGGCCGACCAACCCGTTGGGCACGGCTGGGACATCGGGAGATTACTCTTCCCAGTCCCAATTCGGGTTTGAGGTGTCTCCGTTCCCATTCTCCCCACCCTAAAGCACGGCATATTACAGTTGACCCAAGAACAGGAGGACAATCCATGAAAAATACGCCGTGTTGGTGCTCAAATAATCCTTAACTGCTTCATCTCAACATCTGTAAACTCCTCCCATAACGCCAGACAAGTCTTCTTATCACCCTCGCTCTCTCGAAAACTATTACTCCTATCCCTAGCATTCCAGTACCCAACACGCATATATCTCTCCTCCCTCCTCTCTATCCTCACCAGTATCAATCCTTCCAGCTGCGGCACTTCTTCTTCCTTCTTCTTCCTCTTTTCTCCTGGACGAAAACTGGCATTGTGATCGAACACCAACAGGAAGAAAACCTCCCTTGGGTATATTTGAGCGGGCTCAGATGTATCAAGGATGCAATACCAAGCATTGATCTCACGTCGTGGTTTGGTCAAGACTCTGCCCTTGAGATGCAGCGGTCCATGCCTTCCATCACGGCTGGTGATAGGAAACTCCAAAATCTCAACCATTTCCTTACCGATATGAATAACTTCTTCCACCCGCCCGCTCGGAAACCCGTATCTGGTAATGCTCCTCGACGCGGTAGGGATCACTACCGGACCATCAACCGCGACCCAACTCCAACTCGGCGCGCCCCTCCGCCTCGGTCGAGCATAAGCTGGTTGCTCGGCGCCTCTACCGATGATAGGACGCCAAAGTAGTTGCTTAGCCGTCCACTCTCCGGGCATATTCCATATTCCGTAGAAACAGTCAAACCCCACCACTTCCTGAATCTCCCCTATAATACCCGCAAGTGCAGCAAGGCGATCACTGCGTTTCGTGATATCACAACTAGTGTACTTTCTCACAATCTCAGCCCAGTACTCCAGGAAGGAGAAGCGGGATCCCAGATCTAGAATCCCGTTTTCAAATGTGAGAGGCTCGGGGGAGAACTGTGCTTCATGGAATGCGGTATCTGACCACTGGCTTGTGTATTCTTTGATGGCTTCTTCGTGTTGACAGTGTAGGATATTGGATATAGACCGCCGGAACGTATTGCGTAGTACTGTACCTGCAGGGAGAGATTCAAAGGCTTCGGTCGTGAAACACTCCCACATCACACCTTGAGATGTGAAGTGGAGATTTCGGCGGGATAATAGTCGCTCCTGTTTTCAGAAAAAAAAGTTGGTATCAGTACGAGTTCCTTGATACAGTTGGAATAGTGGGGCCATGCCTGAACAACCCAAGCCCTAGAATCCAATCTACACTTCCTCACACTATCCTTGACAGAGTCTGTGACGCAAACAGGCCCCGATTGATACTGATTCTTGTTAAACCACGACCACATCTTGCCCACTGCCCAGAATCCCTTATCAAGCGTCCCCTCAATACAACAAGGAAGACTGTCTAATGGATTCCTGCTTTTCAAGAATCCTTCATCCGCAGTTTCCGCGGAGCTGGCACAGATGGTACAGATGGAATTGCTGTAGATCTGTCCCATTTTCACTGATTCGTCTTCCCAGTCGTCTTTCGAATCTTGCAGGATGCAGAGGCTGTCTACCCATAGATGCTGATACTTTAGACCCCGAGTCACTGTAATTGCGTCTGCGACTGTTTTTGGCAGTTCTTTGACATCAATTCGCTGCATCAGACCCTCTGCATTCTTAGTAGTTAAAACCAAAGGGCTGGCGCCACCCCAGCAGTAGCTCAGAGTGGTATACTGGACAGCGGCATCAAGCTCGGATGTTGACACGACTTTTGGTGCATCGTCTGAATCATCGCTGCCGACCGTGATCAACCGCGCAGGGAGAATCCGGTCTCCGGTCTGGACGCAGCAGAGAGCATGATCAGAAACGCAATCGCGAATCCATTTTCGAGCCATCTCGTACACGGAATCAGCGCCATTGTACCGACTCAGTCGGGCTTCATGTGAGTTCCGTAACGCAAGAGGATCCGGTCCTAGGAATTTTGAATAGTCAGTCTTCTAATCTACGTACGAATTCGCACAGAACGAACATACCATATATCAAACTGGTCACCTCTCTAGGATCGAAATTCAAATTCCTCTCCCTTCCATGAGTCCTGACCACACCAACAAACTTATGAATCATTCTCAAGTTATTGAACGCCGGTGAGATTAATGCGATCAGACAGTGTTCCTGGACAGAGCCCAGCTTCCACCTCTTCACCGGGTTATCTTTTCTCCTCATCCATTTCGGCTGCCAGACTTTCAGCTGAATAGCACCGAAATCTCGAGCGCCTGATACAAACTCCTTCAATTCGTCTTTTGGTATCGTCTGGATTAACAACGCGCAAAGATGGCATCCTGTTCGTGATGAATCGAGGAGGTCTTTGAGGGCTGCATGGAAAAGGTGGAATTCGGCGTGATCCTGGTGCGTGATGCGGATGAACCCAAGTCCAATGCCTCTTCGGAGGAGTGTTGACTTGGAGATGACCTTTATGCACAGAGAGCACAGGATGTTGGGTTTACATTTTTGATTTCGGTCGAAGTCTTCGACGCCGATTGACGACATTGATTTTCTCAAGCAGGGCCGACCCTTTAATCGATCCCGTGACGAAGAGTAATATGAAATAGCTCCACAGACGCGAATGTGCTATCGTGGTTTACGAATGCGGTAGCGGGAGAGTGAGGGTGAGTAGTCAGGCTATCGGTTCGATCGAGGCGCAGAAATGTACGAAGGTGGTGCGTTGGTGCTCGAAGGCAGCGAGTAACCGCTTCCGCGACGTGCTGCTGCATAGCTGGCGGGACCCCGTAAATGGCCTGAAAGCATCATGGAAGAGACAATGAGGCTGTAATGGAGAAGTAGGTAGATGTTGGCAAAGGTGCGCATGAGGCTGTGTGTTTGTTGATAGCTGGGAGACCAGGCACGACCACGTGACCATTGTAGCCACCTACCACTGCCAAGATATCCGGCTTGTTTGGAGTATATCGCTGCGTTCTTTGGCTGGCATTCCCGCTTCAAACATGAGCAGTGTTCTCAAAGCCTCTCTTCCATTCTATAGCCACAGGTCCTGGTACAGAGATCTACCTCATTGTCGATTCTGGCTAACCTATCAGTTGGCGAACATGTGTGATTAGATAGTAAATTTCCGGGATGCTCAAACCGAAACAATCGTTGCCAGAGGTTTCACTTTACTTTGCCAACCCCTTACAGCGCTTGAGATCTCGAGGTTGGGCAGACAAATATGAAGCGCCTGATGGTCCTGTACATACCTAGAAGCCTAACCGCTGCCATGCACGCTGCTGTGGTTGCTGTCCGCCCATCCAACCGAGCTGTTCGTTTGTCGTCTGGATGGACCAACCTGGTTTTATTATTTGTTTTCCCCCGCAATGGTCGGAAATCAAAATTGATCTGATTCCGAAGCATTGGATGTTCTGGACCTGTTTCAAATCACGCGTCCGGAGATCTAGATGACTCTGGGTGCAAGGGAAGTGGCTGGGAGCGATAGACGATCGCAGGCCTCAGCTGAACGCTGTCCTATTCTGCAGGCTTGAACGAGGCGGTAAGTCGGTATTGAGGACTAATCATCTGGTCGACTTGTATCCAAGTTGAAACGTGCTAGCTGCTCGGCGCCGATGCGAATATCAATCGTTCTATCTCGAAGCATATTAGACGATATGATCCGGCATGCCCTGAGAGTCCGCCAATCTGCGCAATCGATTCTTCGATCAGTTGCAAGATGCTGCTCAGAACGTCAGTCAATGTATTTCGAAGACGTGCGCAGACGTGGATACCGAATTGTAAAGTCATACACCTGACATCCCGGCGCTCAATGTTTCCGTCTATGCAAGTTGCGTCCATAGTTTCGGTTTCAGGCTTCAAAATGGGAGGTAATCCACGTACTTCGAACCATGTGCTCTTCGAAAGCCCGGAAGAATCAATTCTCATCTCCGTTGCAGGAGTCCAGATAGGGCGCAACCCATACACGCCGATTCAGGAGGTCTCCGAATGTCCGGGAAAATCAGCCACATGCCCAAAACCTGAATACATCTCTGTCCTATTTTGTGAAGATGATGAACCAGCAGACGTGGCATGGACTTTTGCCATCCGCGGCGGGGAGGACTTGATAAATACTTTGCAGAGGTACGCCGGGACGATGAGACACGACACAAGCGATGAGTATACGGACGCATTCCAGCGATTCGTCACGGGGCTAGTTGTGCAGAGTCTACTTCTGGACCAAGGTGACAAGATTCTGGAGAATGCTAAACGCGACAAAGACAACGACATACCTCTCGAGCATCCAACGGTAAAACCAAAGACAATTGAGTCCACCAAGAGACTGTCTGGAAAGGCGAGAGATGAAGAGATCGAACTGTGCTTCCAGCAAGGTCAATCTCCCGTAGACTTGGCGATATCCCTTGATAGAACTCCAGAGTTCGTCTTGCGCGAAGCCAAACGCCTTCTAGGAGAACAAGAGCTGGAGCAACAAATGAGATGGAATAAAAAGGGGCAATGGTCTGATGGCGAGACCCAGTGGCTAATTTCCCGACGAAATAAAGGCTTGCCGTTGAACAAGAGGGCTAGGTTGCTCCGAAGAACAAAGCCGAACGTGGAGAAAAAGCTTCGACAGCTTGGAACCAAAATATTGGAGTCGAGTGTTGTGGAGGAAGGGCCCCAGAAATTGCCATTTTGGTTGCGAGAAACGCTTTTTACCACGCGGTTGTTCGAAATTTGGGAAGGTCTTCTGGAGTCTGATATGACCCCAATTTGGAGAGAGGCTCTTTCGGAGAAGTCTGCTGAGCAGTGGCTTACCCCCATTTCTGAAGGGATCCCAAAAGATGTGAAGAAGATCCTCGGAGGCTTACAACCCCCTACTTTTGACGAACTCGAACATTTATCCCCAGTCAATTCGACGGACGCCGGGGTGTACGCTAGGCTAGTAACCTCTCGATACCCGGTCCAGGCAGTTAGTGACCGATATTTGTACGTTGGTTCGGCCAGTAAGTATGGCAGTGGACTGCAGGGCAGAGTCAATCAGCACATCAGGAAGGCTATCAAAACAAGACTGGATCGGAACATAAAAACAATGAACTTGAAAGCGCCGGGCTGTTTCGTCGCCCTAATGACCATGAAGATGAACAGCGCTGAAGAAGAACACGTCCTCGGCGTGCGGAGGACAGTGACATTAGCAGAGGCAATCTTAACGATATGGTTAGGGGCACTCCAATCACCATGTCCTCATCTTCGAAAGTTGTGTCCATGGGATCTGCAAGCTCTAGATTACAGAGCATGGTCATCGCACAATCCTTTAACGGTAGATATCGTTCTGCCCAACAACTCGATGATCGGGAGATCTGTTTAGCATGGGATATGATATATTTTTTTTCCGTCTGCAGCTCTCCCAGAGCCTGTACTTTGAAGACCTTTCCCAGAGGTTTCTGGCCTCTGAGAGTTTCTGGCATCGATATCAGCGTAATAGAATGCACTTCATGTGACACACTCAGCGCTGTCTTTGACTTGAATCATGAGAAGCAACATGTTTCGGTAGAACGGTTGCCCCTAAGCGACGTTGGCAGGTATTGTCAAATGGGATACATGAGCGGGAACGCCGACGTTGGTGGACATCCATAGCTACCGCAAGACTCCGGATTACCAGGAGCAGAAATTTACTATGGGCAACACACCCATTTTCGCTGCTCCTTCAATGCCCGCAATTTTGCGTGGTGACGCCGTCGTCGACTGTGCAATTCGTTCTTGTATAGCCAAACCGTAGTGTTGTTGACTGCGCGCGTGGTCACGTGTGTCATTTCTGTGAGTCTGGCAGCCACCCTGCGGCCTGCGCAGCCTTCTTGCGATCCGTCCTCTTGAGTCGTCCTTGCTGGCGTTGTAGAAGGCGGTGGCTCGATAGAGGGGGTGGGAGGAGGAGATCTAGGTGTCGGCTTCGCGGAAGGTGGTGCCTGCTCGCGGTGTTGCTCACGGCGCAGTTCTTCAATCATATAATTTCTTGCCTCTCCACGTTCACAACGGTCTTTTTATTGTTGTTCCTTCTCACCGATCTCGTTTGCCGTCAATCCACGAGAGTTCTCGGCCGGTCGCTTGCGCTTAAAGGTCCGCTTAGGGATTGTATCTGGCTGACCGATTGGTAGGGCTGCGAGCTCTGCGTGGCCCTCACCAGTCTTCTGAAGCGTCTTTAGAAGGTCAGATATCTGTCGAGTGAATCGATCCTTCTCCTCTATTGGTAGAGCGTCACGCAGCTGCATTATCTTGTTTAGATCTCGATGAATGGTCGCCTTCTTTGGAGATAGTAGGAGTGCTCGCGCTGAGTAGCTGGGCTTCCAATCCGCGGGTACAACGAGCCACTCAGTACTATGTTGTTGCTTCAAGTGCCACCGCGGATGAATAAGTGTTGAGTGGTATAGACTCCATCTCTTCTCGAGCCAACGGGATGAGTATGTGTAGACAGGGTAGACTATACCGTAAACGGTTCTCGCATTCACAGGAGTCGAAGTCGTCGGCTAGATCATAGGAGGCAAACGCAGCGAGATCCTGTGACTTTTGACAGAGCGCCAAATACGCTTCTTCAACACGGCGAATCGCAAACAACGAGATCTTGCCCCTTAACGCTCTAAACACCTGACTCTGAAGACCTGTCGGTTGCTTTGTCATCGACGCTGACCTTAGACTCCAGAGTCACTGGTAAACAAGTGTTAGCTTTGAACAAAGGGCCTGCGCCGACTTCTCGAGGGACATTTGACCGTGTACCACCTTCATCAGCGTAGAGTGCAACGCTTCATTCTGTTGAGTCGAGCTTGCTCCAAGATTAGGATATTTGGCCGTGTAACAAGTGACGAATTGCCGTTCTTTGGGCTCGCAGAATTCGCGGACATACTCCTGCTCTTTTGGATGTAGACGGTCAAGAAGACGGCGCTTATTACTTAACAGGAGACCCTCTATTGAAGACTTCACGTATTCCCACTATAAGTTTTTGAGGCCAGGGATCTCGCCGTTTTCAGTAGTGTAACCATCCAGCTCTTCTGTCTTATATCCTCCCTTGCAGATACGAGCAATCATGGCGTTTACAACATGCCAGTTGCATAGCTGATGAGTAGTTGTAGAATCGAGGGCGCCAGATCGGACGGATGAAATCATACCCGATGAAGCGTCAGTCAGAACGACTCGTGGCCATGGAATACCGTCTTTGAATATCTCGAGCCCAAGAACTTTGAAGTAGTAAGAATAAGACTCTTCTGTTTCTCCCGGGCAATAGGAGAAAGCGATAGGTACCTGTTTCCCTTCATGCGAGAGCCCAATGCTTGTGAGCAAAAGCATTCGCTTGTCGTTTGTCGTGAACGTGGCGTCGACTTGAAGAAGATGACCTGAGCAAAACCGTCGAATTAGATCGACTCCTTCCATCATGTAGAAGACGATCTGAACAAGCTTTCGTGAAACTGGCCCTCGCTCGCAGTTTATATCGCCCTCAGCATAGCTATCATGAGTTCTCGTGGCCTAGACAAACCCAGCTTCATCAAGGGCCTTCAATAGAGCCACAATAGATCTATCGTCAACTGGATTGATCGGTTCGCGGCGAACAAGGTTTTAGTAGTCTTTCTGAGTGAGCACACCCCCCAGATTTTCCGGCCGCAAGGGTTTCAACGCCTCTGAGTACGGCTGACCAACCTCACGATATCGTCGAGCAGGGAATGTCTCGGGAGAGCGACAACCCACAGCGACTCGCGTACCACAGCGACATCGCTAAACACAAATCAGGCCTAGCTTGTGTGAACGTTGTCCGTTTGATGGAAAGGTACTGGAGAGGGCCACGTTGGGGGTTTATTCGCTTCTTGACGACATCAGGAGGGTATCGCATCAAATTAAAAGACCGTTAGGATTAAATGCAATGTCAGAATGATTCGCGTGAGAGATGGCAGACGTCGTCACCACCACGCGGCTGAGATCAGGCTGAATGCAGTCGAGGCCAAATCACGTTGCGGCGGCCAGCGCAACCTCATGGCAATGCGCCATGAACAGCTTCCCCCGCCGCTATTACATACTGTATGCCACGTTTTTGAAAGTGCACTCAGCAAACAACAAAGGGCTATGCACACTGTAGAAAAGTGAAGGTTCTTCCCTCGTTCAACCACACGTTCATGTGGGCTGATTTAGGGACGAGCGATCACAGGTCAAAGCGCTTCCCGATATGCCAAAGGGTAAAGTAGAAGGAGGCAAGGGAGGAAAGTTGGTCACGTGCTGATCGCTGTCAAGTTTCGAATACTAGTCACGAGACGTGTAACGATATGTGCAATAGTCCATGCGAGATATGTGATGGCCAAGATTTTAGTGCAGGATGATTTGGGGATACCGATAAAACTGGTGTACTATATCAGGCAAGAGGCCAACCTAACATGGATTGCCGCTGCAGTGCAGAGAGAATTAAAAAAAGTGTCCAGCAGTAAGGCCGCGAGGTTATGTATAACGGACTCTGATAGTATAGCATTAGAAGATTGGCCGGATCTACAGGCGTGATTATTGATAGTCTCTTGCCACCACAGTACAGCGAGAGTGCACTAATGATATCGGCATTGCGCCCGTCAGACGAATAAATGACATGATCGCGGCGTATTGACAATACGATGATACCGCTCGACGCTCAATCATTTGTCAGTTAGGCGAGATGTTATCATACTTATATAGGAAATGCTATCCTGTTTACGTCTTAGCTTAGGTTTGGAAGAAAATTGCAATGTGTCTGCAGAGACGCAGGTCTTACACAAATGGGCAGAAATTTAGAGCTGGCTTTACGATCACTTAGTCAAGTTACTGGTAGGCCTTACGAAACGTGCTCCGTGCATTGTTAAGGAAAAGCCCGAGGGGGCTATTAGGTAACATGAGTGCTATCCCTGGGGTTCGAACAAGGAAACGTCCGCTCTTTATCCTACTGGTCAATCGCCCCGGGCACAGTCCTGCTTATTCATGACCCCTTTTCTGACAACCCGCGTCCCGTACCACCGTTACTAATACTGACGCACTTACGTACAGAACAGGGTGGGAAAGACCTTTTCACCAGCCATTGATCTTCTCCTGTTCCTGCTATCGTCTGAGTACAAGTAGTTAATTGTGCGACCAGCAGAGCAGAGCACAACGGTCCGTGACAGACTTGTTATTGTGCCTACAGGCGGTTAGGACTTTGACGACGAAGGGTGAGGAGCGAGTTTAAAGCCTAGGGCTTGGGCTGACATTGAGTGGTGGTACCTGTGCGTTGGGAGCAAGGAGAGGCATTTGACGGCCAGGACCAAGACTAGAACAACTGGTGGAAGAAAGGAGGACAAGAGGGGGGCGCGGCGGCGGAAAGACACGGACAAGAACAAGCAAGAATAAATCGATTCGTCCGTCCATATCGACAGTGCGATCTTGAGATATTCACAACCCCAAAACTTCCAGCTCAACTTGCAGACCAAGCAAAACGCAACAACGATGGCACAACCGCGAAGATCCCAATCACGACCGCACGGCCCAAACCACATGCCGACAACAACGATACCAGTCTTCAAATCACCTAACGAACCCCTTCCATCTTCTCCGGCCCGGCCGACTCTGCGCCCATACACAACTGCGCCCGACGGCGTTGGCTCGACGCAAAGCGCGCCGGGGGCCGGCGCGGCACACAGTTTCATCCACTCCGCCGTCGACTCAGCTCTCCCAAACTCCCCATTCCATCGACGACGGAGGCGAGAGTCCGTCATCGCCCCTTTCGCGGGCCGGCTTGGTGGGAATCAAACCTTTGTCCTCGATCGATCGAACCCGGCCAATGCGGAATTGTTGCAGAAAGTCCCCGATGCAGCGCCGAATTTGAATTTAAAAGAAGCCTTCGATCCTCGCGCGTTCCGGGATGTGGATTTGTATAAGGCAGCTGCGATTGAGTTTGTGGGTAAGTCAAGCCCCACCAGTCCTCTTTTCTCTTCCTTGGTCCTGCTTGACTTTACCGGAGTTGATGGCTCTTTGCTCTTTGTTCCGGTGTTCGTCCGGCACCAGGATCGAGTGCTGCTGATGACTGACATTTTTCTTTCTTTGGGGGGCCTAGGAACTTTACTCCTCGTATACGCAGCCGCATGGAATAGTCTGTCGCCCAATATCCCTCCACCGCGTCCATCGCCGACATCTGGTGTCTTCAGCGCCGTCACATTTCTCGGTCCCTTAGTTGGCGCTTGTATCAATTCAATCCTGATGAGCCTGCTGATTTACTCCTTCGGCGCGATCTCCGGTGGCCATATGAACCCGCTAATTACGCTGGGGACTTTCTTCGCGGGCTTGACCAGTCTCCCGCGCTTGGTCTTGTATGTGGCAGCGCAAACGGCCGGAGGGGCGTTGGCAGGATTATTGCTGCGAGCGAGTGCGGGCACACGAGATTTCAAGGTCGGCGGATGTTTTTTGTTCGAGGACATGGGAGTGAGTGTTTTGTCGGCGTTCACTGTTGAATTGGTGGGTGATGTGTTGTTGCTTGTGCTTGCGTTCGGGGTCGGTTTGGATCCAAGACAGAGAGAGATCTTTGGACCTGCATTGGGGCCGATTCTCGTTGGGCTGGCGGCTGGTGCGACGGCGTTGTGTATGTCCTTTTCGCGTCCGGGGTTTGGGGGCCCTGGGATGAATCCCGCCAGATGCTTTGGGGTGTTTGTGGGAAGTCGGTTTCCGGGTTGGCATTGGGTGCATTGGGTGGGGCCGCTGGCTGCCAGTATGTTTCATGGCATTGTGTATTTTCTGGTTCCTCCGGTTTCGCCCAAGGACAAAGGAGCACCCGGAGGTGAGAAGGAGGGTCTGTCTTTGTCTACGGCAGAGGCAGAGCAGGAGAAGACGGCGGATAGAGAGTGTGTGTAGAAAGGAAAGGATTACCATCCGGAGAGCTTAATATGGCCTCACCAATAAAAGGGGGAAGGTCGTTCCATTCCATTCAAGCTCCGAGCATGACTCTTCTTCTGGGCTCCTTTTTCATCCCACCCCCTTTGACGAATTGTACGGCTTTATGAGTTCGCTCTTCATGGCCGGCGTCTTCGCCTCTGTGTCCTTCCATCCAGCAGTTCGTACAGTAGAGATCTCCGTCACATCCGATACAGCGGAATGTCGCGTCATCGTTACAGATGATGCACCACGTATCAACTTCCTCATCGGTGTATCCGATCGTGGGCTTAGCGGATGTGGATGTGAATGGCTTGGTGGATTTCATGGTCGTTGGGACGGAGGGGAGCGACAGCCCGGCAAAGCGAGAGGCTAGATCGTCATCCTCTTTACGATTGGAATCGGGTTTCGTCTCGACGGGTTCTGGGAGCATGGATGGCGTGGCGGGGAGGTTGAGAGCGGACGATTGAGGTGCTGTAGATGAATCTGACAGTTCCGGGTTTGGCTGAGATGCATCTTCTTCCGAGTCTGGTGCCTCCATTCCATCGTCTTGTGGTGAGGTGGACCCGAGCTTGACTTCATCGAGAATTCTGGCGAGGAGTTCGTCGGCTTCCTGATCCAAATTGTCTTTCGACTTGGATCCAGCTTTACTCCGGGCTTCCTCATCTGATTCCGGCCCTGGTTGAAAGACAGAGACGTCGAGAGCAGGTAATTTCGGGGCGGATATCGTGTCTGCGGCAGGGTCTCTTTCTTTCTCCTCTTCCGCTCGCGCTTTACTCTCTTCCAATGCGTCGCCGAGGGCCGACTTTGCAGACCGCAGGAGATCAGCCACTTGGTCTTCCTCGCTCTTATCAATCTCCCATGCATCCGACGGTCCCAGATCTGCCAATAGCTCCTCGAGGGTTTGATCATCTTCTGTCTTCTCTGTCGAGTGTGTGGAATTGTCTGCTCCACTTGCAGTGGGCGTACCTCCGAATGACTTCCATCTTCCTAGTAGGTCTGAGTGAAGGGCACGAGCAGGACTAGGGTCGAGGGACACAGATGAAGGTTTCCCAAGAGGTGTCTGGTAGCTGGATTAGAATCATCAGCCAAATGCGCATGGTCGACAAAGCGATGGATTACTTGTTCTGATCAAAGGAGACAGCAGATTGTTTCAGCGCATTCAAGCGCGAGAGTAAATCTCGATCTGCATTCGATGCGGGGTCATGAGACATCACAGCCGTGCTATTATGCAATCATGGTCATGAAATGTTTGGTGGTGGACAAGGAATCTACCCTCGCGGAGCGTTTGTCAGTCCCGAAGACAAGGTTTCTGCATCAATGGTTTGTCCCGCATGACGTAGTGGTTCTGAGGTCCCTAAAGGTTTCCAAGCAGTGCCATTGCATTTTGGAATGCTTCAAGGACTCTTGCATCTGTACATGGCATTAGTATAAAATCCTCTCGATGAAAAAGAGGACCAACGGTGTGCTTGTTTCTGTGCCAATGATGCTTCAGAATTCTGGACCAGGGCAATTCTGGTTCGCAGCCTGCAAAGATTAGCATTTGATTCCTGATGTTGGACCAAATTCACACCTCTTGATAGCTCTTTCAGCTTCGTATTCGTTTGAAACTTGCATGTAGAGCATAAATTGCTGTTTGCAGTCAGCCACATCCACAAGTCGACGAGGCTTACATACCTCGAAGCGGGCACCAAGCTCATTCAGGATCTCTTGTTCAGCAGCAATATGAGGTTGAATCTCCTGGTTGTAACGATTTTCCAAGTCCGTCCAATCCAAAGGATCCAAGTCGATGGTAGTATCTCTCTCGTCCAAGGATCGCTCAAATTCCTGGAATTCGAAGTCTAGCTTCTTCTGATGGTCGCGGATTTCTTTCGCAAACGCATCATTTGTTGTGGACGGAGGGGGTCTTTTGGTTTTGTCGGCGGATTCGTGGAATTTTGACGCCAAAGTACTTGAATTTGGCTCTGGAGCAGCCTCATAGATCTCTTCATTGGTGCGTGTTCTCGTGTGTCTGGGTCTGGCTGGCAATGGGGAGGATTCGATGGTCGTGGCCGCATCCATGTCTGTCATGTCTATGATCTCTGACAGCTTCGCTTCGTCTGCAATCGGAGATTCAACAACATCATGAACGGTGTCCATCTTGGCTGTTTGGTTGATTTGGCGGACTCTCTGTACCAAAAAGGTTGAATACCAAAGCCAATCTCTTCCTGCTTTTTAGCGCGACGCGTTGTCACGTGATCAGTCTTCCCTGACAGAATCTCCCGTCCGTTGAGGCGGCACGTCATGCTTGCCGCTCATGAAGCCCAGCCTCAAATCCGTCCGATCCAGGGACGTGCTGCCTATTTCTCCATGTTATCCTCGAGACCCTTGAGATAGACAATGCCAACCGGCTATCTATGATCGTGCTTTGATGCACAACCCTAGCACGTCCTAAGTCTGTTCTGACATCATGATTTCAGATTCCTTTCCAGCGGAAACTCACCACCGCCGGTGTCGCTGGATGCGGAGGTTAACGGCCACGAGACCACAGAACATGAGATCACCCGTTCCTTGAATAGCGCTTCTGACACCGATTCCTCATTCATTTGTGTCGATACCGAACAGTCTCGCCAGATGGATTGCTCTATTTGCAAGCAACATCCTGCCGCTGACGGTGGAATGCACTGCATAACATGCGCCCGCAACATGCTCTACGGGGTGAGAAATCAACTCGCTCACATCTTACTTCAGAAAGAGGAGCTTCGTCGCAAAGTCGAAGCCATCGTCCGCCCAGAGCTTGATACTTCCAAACCTATCGATGAGGAGACCACGAAACTCAGAGAAGCGTGGCAGCATCAGCAAAGCAACAACGACGGTCAGCGCCTTCAAGAGGAGAAAGAAGAAATGGAGCGTCAGATTCAGGAAATCCAAAAAGACACCGAGGAGAAACAAGCTCAGGCCAAGGCCGTGCGAGAGCGTCTGGCTGAGAAAAGAGCCAATCTGGAAATCGCCAAACATGCTCTGGCCACCAAAGGCCGGAAGAAACTCCAGGATCTCGAGGATGCCTGTGTCAAGCAAGAAGCCCAAAATGATGCTCTCCATAACAAGACTGTCGAAGCGAAAGCCACACTCTGTCGAGAAGCTGCTACGTTGTTGAGGCTGCGACACTCCAAGAGAAAGGCCAAAGATGGTACGATTAAAGATCGCTATTCTCTTGGAGGTCTCGTACTGCCAGATTTGAAGGAAATCAACAGTATACCAGCCCGGCCCAGCATTGCCATGTGAATCTCACTAACTTTGGAATCTAGACATGCGATGCACCGAACTCAGCGCGGTTCTTGGACATGCTACTCGCCTGGTCTATCTCTGTGCGTTCTACATTGGTATCAGACTCCCTGCGGAAATCACACTTCCCCGTCGAGATTATCCGCTCCCAACAATCAATACCCCTCTCACATCATATTTTGACCAACGTATCCCGTTCCCCGGTACCGGTTCGAGTCTTTCAGCACCCAGCAGCCCGACTGCTTCTCGAATGGATCTCAGTTCATTTCCTCGACCCCGTCCTCTATTCATCGGTACTGACGACCATAACGAATCGGTGGTCCAGTTGGCAAAGAAGGAACCGTTGGCATTCAACTTCTTCTTGGAAGGCATTTCTCTTCTTGCTTGGGACATTGCATGGCTTTCTCGCACGCAAGGATTCGTTGCAGGTACGGAGACGTGGGAAGATATCTGTGACATCGGTCGCAACCTGTACCAGATGATCTTAGCTCCTCAACAATCTGCTGCCACATTCCGTGTTCTCACTCAACGAGAAATTCAAAACCGTCAACGTCCATCTCCTGAAAACCCCCCGGTTCCTGGTCGACTGGGTTCAACATCACACACTTCGGCACATACCTTTCTTGGGCGCGCGAATGATTCCGCCGACAACCCATCCCGTTCGTGGCGCCTGAACAAATACACCATGGTCGCCGATCCCTTGAAGAAACATCTTTTGGTAGAAATGAACAATGCTGAATGGGAACTGCTTGATGAACAGGAATGGGATGATGGAGGGGAGAAGATGGATGAGGCCGTGTTCATCAAGGCTAAGGCGATGGACGGGAAAGACTACGATGATGCAAGAAGCATCATGACCACCGCCGCCGCCGCCAAAGTGGCTGGTGTAGAGGAGGATAATGCCCGGGCCAAGGGTAAGAGTGGTTGGACCAAGGTTAAGAGCCGAGAGAAGCCATGACCTACCGGCGGCAGTGGGTCTCTCTTTGTCGGAGTCAAGGAAGATACCTGGCTCGGCAGGAGGAAGGCTGAAGCGCGGTGTTGGTGGCGCCCGGCGGCCTGTTCTTTGCTAATCTTTTAGATAGAAAAGTGCCCCATGTATGGCACGCGCGGCCGACCGGTGAATCCCAGTCAGGATGGCATGAATGACAGCTCTCAAGAAAGACACCCTATTCCCTTTTATCCCTGTGTTGGAAGTGGTGAGATTTCTCGAATCGAATCCGACATCATTTGCCTCGAGGCGCCTGGGGAATGGAGAGCGTTATGACTACATCGTGCCATGAGAGGTGATATTGGCTCTTGATGACGCCACGAGCACATGGAGGGAAAAGGAGACAATATGCTCAAAAACACCCTGAATGACATGTAACCAAGAGCAACAAATATTAAACACCAGAGTCTAATGGTGGACCCACGTCCATGTGCTGCACGTCCATGACTAGTAAATGACTGACCAGACTTATTCCTCTCAAGCACACAGGACGTAAACGGAACTTTGTTTGGTGGTAGTCTGATCTGGCTAGTGTACGTAGCCCTGAGGTGACAATTGAACAAGGGTGATTGGTATACGAGATCAATGGGACTCCTTGCCGCGTACTCCATTCAAAGTTTGCATAAGTGAGAGGATGGTCCGTATTCAACGGTGGTGATGGTATATCTCCCTGGCGCAGACGCTGCTTCACACACTGGCAAGTGACCTCCATGATCGCGTGCTCTATGGTGCGTTCGTGAGTTCGTCCCCTTCTTCTCGTCAAGCGTACGTAAACTATCAATTTCCCTTGGGACGGTCAACAAGAAAAATAGAACAACACAGTATGCTCGGCATTCCTTGGGGCAATCTCACGGCAACCTCCTGCCAAGTGACATGTATGAGCGATGAAGCACACAGGTTAAGGGCTATGATGTTCTAAATAAGCAGGGTGAAGGGAGGTGGGTGAGGGAAAAGGCTTGAACGCCCGTGGTTTAGGTAAAGGTCACCCAGATCTTAGCACCAAGCCCGCCCGGAAAGAGGGATGCAGGAAATTAGGGATGGTCCGAGGGCTCTGGGCAGTAAGCGGACAAATTTCTAGGCAGACCCCGAAGGACTTCGATGGGTGCTGGGCGAATCCAATCAAATTCACACCACCCAACAATGGAGCCTTGTCTGCTTTGATCACTCCGCTATCGAACGAGCCATCACATCCCTCTGGAGGGCCGTACGATTCTTTATCTCCAGAGTCACCACAACATCCGGACCTGGAAGGGAAAGGCCAATTTCTTTGTTCGCTCCATTCGTTTTTCACCCTATTCAATTATTCCGATATTGCTCTGTGCTCTTGATTTCTATAAACCTTTTCATTCCGAAGTCCCTGCAAACGGCACATGGACCAAGTGAGCATCATCATCGCCTTCGAAAACCGGACCGTTCTTTTTTGCTATATTTGACCACGACCTCAATAGTCGCAATTCAAAACTGTCGATCTTACCCATAATATCGGACACCATTGACATTGTTCAACAACTCTCAGCCAACCCAAGCACAACCTACCAACGACATATCACAGCATCATTCCACGTCGAAGGCAAAATGAAGTATGCCTGGGGGGCTGGTGGGCTGATGGTGGCTGCCAGTGCAGTCGTCGCTCAAAACCCAGATTGTTACGAAGAAAAGGGAAATTGGTATTGCAATGAGGTCGGAGCCATTTCATATTCCAACTTCGGTACTGCTGGTCAGTACCAAAAAGTCACACAGATGGGACCAAATGGCGAATGTACATTTGCCGACCAATCGTATCACGGAGGAATGGCACCCATGGACGGTGAGGTGAGCTGTAAAGAGCTCTTGATTTCACCTGTCAATTCTTACCTGTTCTTTCTTTAGGTATCCTGGCATTTTCGAGGCCCTATCCATTTGAAGCAATTTGCATTTTATACTTCAGGATCCAGTGAGACAAAAAGGTCAATTCATCCTCCTCCCATTCAGCGTCGCCATGCGCATCAGCAATTGCATCATCATCATCACAACCACGCCGCCAGAGAGGTTCATGATGAGGATATGGATATTGTCGGGGAGAAGCGCGCAGTGGGCGATGTGGTTATCGCTACTATAAATGGGAAGGTCGTGACTTGGACCAACGAATATGACGGATCTGCCCCAGCAACAGCAGCCACAGCAGCTCCAGCGGCTGAGGAAGCGGTCACTCTCGCGACTGCGGTATATGGCTCTCCGACGGCTGCCCCCAGTATGAATGTCGGTCCGGGACAATGGGGAAGACAAGCATATTACAATGCCGAACAGGGTATTGCAGATGGACTGGTTTTCCTGAATCACCATGGGGGCCAAGGATCCGGTGTATTTGATACGTAAGTGGCAAACCCGGGATGGATCGAGGTCCCATGTTGACAAGTGTAGTGTGTGGGGCATGTCGCTCTCGTATGCTTCCGCCGATAACAGCGCCGGTTCACCATCACCAGTGACGCTGGCAGATACTTTGATCGGCGATAACAGTGAATTTGTCTTGATGACAGACAAACCATGTTCGGATGGTGGATGTGGAACAGTCAGAGATGGCACTGTCGCTTATCGTGAGTAAACCCTCTGTCCTGCTTTAATGCCGTTGCTGAGTCGTGAACAGACGGATTTGACGGAGCATCGAAACTGTTCCTTCTCGACTTCAGCATGCCACTTTCGGGAGCCACCGGATTCAACGCTGACATGCCCGCAGCTTGGATGCTCAATGCTCAGATTCCTCGAACATTACAGTACGGAAAATGCTCATGCTGGGATTCTGGATGTGGTGAATTCGACGTCTTTGAGGTCTTGGATTCTGGCAATCAGAAATGCAAATCCACTTGGCATGGAGTTCACTCCCTCGGAGATTCGAACTGGTTCCCACGACCGATCAGTGGAACCAAGAAAGTTGCGGTTCTGTTTGACGGGAGTTCAAGCACTGCCCATATCATTGTCCTTCGAGATGACACCAACTTCGATGCCAGCATTGCTGAATCCACGGTAGCGGGTTTCCTCAATTCGATATCAGATCCCAAGTTGCATATTAAGGTCGCTCTGGCAGGATAAACGCTTTGACGGAGAGCTTTGAAGCCGGGAGTTTGGAGGCATATGCATCATTCTCGGGGCGAATTAGGATACTGCATATCAATCAGGGATTTGGTTTGGATGTTTGTTCCTTTGTTACACTTCATCATTGATACCCATCTTGTATCCAGTTGCGACATATCAGGTGCGAGAGAGGAGGTTACGACGGGAGTTCGAGCAATGCCTCCAGGGTACATGAGAGTGACTTGGAGTGACAGGCTCTTCAACAGGATTTTACGATGATAAAGTGAGGTAAGCCGACGGTATACCGTCAGGCGAGACTGCCCGAATTTCAACAAACTTTTTGAGAAAGAAATTTGCTTTTAAGGAGTAGGGAGAAATAACCGGCGGAGTATTTGTACACTATGGCAATGTTTTCCCGCGGGGCAGAGCGAGACTACGGCATTTTTATTTCAGCGACTTCAGCTCTTGCAATATCCAACTTTCTATTTCTACATGCTAACTTTGAGGAAAGCAGTTCTGGCAGACCAGGCTTCTTCATGAGCTACGCTGACAAGTTCCCAGAGATCATCCACGCCCTCGGTCTTCTCGCCTTTTGGAGAAGAGAGACAGGAAACTTTATCAGGCATCCTCTGGTGAAAAGGCTGTTCAACACATTGGCATCTGCAACAACTCCAGAAGCCCATATCCACAGCCTAAGATGGGGTCAAGTGTGGTATTCTGCCCGTGTCTCCAACTATGATAGCGGAAGAGCCACGTTCTCGTCTGCTCGAGGGAATCCAACGGCCTAGCCACCGTCTCGGACCGATCGGTCATCTAGGACACATATCGTTGGATTTTTCGAGCTAGAATCCGTCCTGCGGTTGGAGTTTCGATCAAAACAACCCTGGTAAGCAGTTCACTGGCTCCATGAATACTTCTCCACGTGGGGTCTGGGGGGACAAACCATCATCCCACAAGTTCTCGAATCCATTTACCGATCCTTGCCCGATATCCCACCATTTCGAGATGTCAATTCCGACGGATGATCCGTCGGGCCAAATGACGTTCACAAATCACACGAATAATCCAAGATGAAGCAAAAACTGAGAGTCGGGTGATAGTATCCGGTTTTCAAACCTGTAAAAACTTCGACTCGTCGGTTTTGAAAGCTTCAACTACTAGCAGTTCTCTCTCACCACAACCGACCAAAGGAGATATTCGAGTCACGAATTCCCAAATCCCGACCGGGCCAGTGCAGGCCGAACTGGTCTGTTCAATATTCCGCAGAGGAGTTTCCTCCGCCAATCCCCCATTTCTTCCCCGCACATTTCCATGATTTGGGGACATGTAACCAGGGTCTTGAATCCTTTCTTGCATTCCGATTTGATATCCAAACAAGCCCGCTAAGCAAACTCAAGCAATGATTGAATACGAGATTGCAATCGTGGGTACACTTTCTCTTGGATACACCACAAACCCCTGAACGTTCATGGATTCTCTCGACATGATGTTCCACCGTCATCATATGGTCATCCCGGAGTTGGAATTTTGCGCTGTTGTCCTTTGACTAAATTCCTCGCCCAGAATCTCAAATACCGTACCCGACTCTTCTCCTTCTGCAGGCCAGATTTGCTTCCTTTTTTTTTTTCTCCTACGATTTGATATTAAGAATCCCAGGGCATAACAACTGAGCTTACATCCCTCGGTTTTGGTGGTTCCCCAGAGCCTTTACCAATCGACAAGATGGCCAACAAAGCCGATGACAAAGCGATCACCACGCACGATGAAATCAACAGCCTCAATCTCCCGCCGACAACACACAAATTCAAGTTCTCATCGAAATCCAAAACCCAGGATGGCGACGTGGCATTGAAACTTTTCCAAAATGCCGATGACTTGCACGAACCGATTGATCCAGTCGAAGAGAAAAAACTCATCCGAAAAATCGATCTTCTGATTCTTCCCTTGATCGCGGTCAACTACGCTTTCTTTTACATTGACAAAACCACACTGTCATATGCCGCAATCTTTGGCATCAGAGAAGATCTCAACCTTCATGGAACCCAATACAATTGGCTGAGCAGTGAGTTGATGTGATAAAATGGGAAATATCATCGTTCTTAACACCAATCCAGGTCTTTTCTACTTTGGCTTCCTTGCCTGGGCATTTCCAACCAACTTCTTGATGCAGAGATTACCATTGGGTAAATATCTCGGTTTCAAGTACGTGCTTTCTTATTAACTTCCCCCCGAGAATGCCAACATACTCACTTTCGATAGCATTTTTCTATGGGGATTCTTCCTGATTCTCCAAGCCGCCTGCAACAGCTTCGCCACTCTTGGGGTTCTCAGAGCGTTGGCAGGAGCAGCAGAAGCATGCTCGGATCCCTCATTCATGCTGATCACAGTCATGGTAAGTGCGAAACTAAGTTGACCTGAGAGATTCCCAGATTGCTAACTGCTTTGGCCAGTGGTACACGCGACGAGAGCAACCCTTGCGGATCGGACTATGGTACACAGCAAATGGTGCCGGGATCGCCCTGGGTGGCCTCCTAGGCTATGGAATCGGTCACATCAAAGGTGCATTGGCATCATGGCGCTACGAATTCATCATTGTTGGCTCTTTGTGTTGCGCCTGGGGCATTGTCATCGGCATCTTCATGCCCGATTCCCCCGTAACAGCGAAGTTTCTGAATGATCGAGAAAGGAGGATTGCCGTCGAGAGATTGAAGAGCAATCAAACCGGTATCGAGAATAAACATTTGAAGGTGAGGACATCCATTGATCTGTCATTTTTCTCGATGTATCTCGCGACGGATATTCAAGCATTTATTTTTGGCCCAATTCGGCTCACGTAAATGGTCCTAGCCTTATCAAGTCCTGGAAGCTTTCATGGACATCAAACTCTACCTCTTCTTCATCCTAGGCATGGTGTGCAACATTCCCAACGGCGGCATCTCGAATTTCGGCACCATCATTATCAAAGGTACGTCGCGCACTTTAAAAGCGCCACATACTCCCACTCCCCTTGTGCCACTTCCGACCAAGCAAAATACTAAATTCTCTCCCCATATAGGCTTCGGATTTTCCACCCTCGTCACAACCCTCATGCAAATCCCCTATGGCTGCTTCATCATCCTTTCCATCCTTTTATGCGTGTTCTTGAACGACCGTTTCCCAAACAACAACCGATGCCTATTCATCCTGTTGTTTCTCTGCCCCAACATTGCCGGCGCATTTGGATTGCGTTTCGTCGATCAATCGCACCATGCAGGCCGATATATCTGCTACTTGCTCACGGGGCCATACAACGCGGCGTTCGTCATGATTCTGTCGCTGCAAATTGCCAATACAGGCGGCCACACGAAGAAAGTTGTCACAAATGCCGTTCTCTTCTTGGGTTATTGTACCGGTAACATCGCCGGTCCGTTCTTCTATAAGACGGACCAGGCACCGAACTATGAGTTGGGCATTTGGAGTATGATCGTCAGGTACGCAACTGAACCTCTCTCCATAACAAGAACTCTCCATTGATGGATTGATCCTGCAGTCACTTACTCGAAGTCTGCGTCATCATCACATTCTGGGTCTTAATGAGTCGCGAGAACCGGAGACGTGATAAGATCCAGGCGCAAGAGGAGGGAGGGTTGGAGGGCAGAGATCTCGATGCCACAGCTTTTGGGGATCTGACAGATCGTGAGAATTTGAATTTTAGGTATATCTACTAGTCCAGGATCCTCAATCAAGGCAGGAAGCAAATGGTTAGTTGGTTGCTGGAGGCGCACAGAGTCCATGGGCGAAATGTTGTGGAAGGGGCGATGGATTCTATATTTCGCCAAGGACATATATGTATGGACAAGCGGTGGTGACGGTGATGAGTCAATGACAGGGTGTTCTTGGACCTGACGAATATGGGGCACCGGTGGGACGAGCTCGATCATAATTGTTTCAAGAGCCCTCGACGTCAGTCTCCAAAGGTGACAACGCTCGAATCCACAAAACTAGGTATTTCCTAGTAGATACCACCGATTGATATCCAAATTAACATTCGAGCGGGACATTTTGGCCGCGGATGACGCCGCGAAAGGTGACAAGCAATAAAAGTGACTACGTATATGCGACAACCCAAGTCCCGAACTCATCATATTTGCTCCTTCGGTTCAATACCGCGGTGGACTGGATCCATAGAGCGGAACAGAAACCTGCTACTAACAGCCATTCTCATACTCGGCTTCACAACTTTTTCACACATATACACAGCTAGATCTACCCCAAGACACCAAAGATACAGCATGCACCACCGAAATACAATTTGGGAATTTACACCTTGACCTTCTCGCCTTCCTCGCTGGTACTGCCGTCTCTTAGCGCACCGGCCTCCGGAGTCTCAGACCCCTTAGCAGCCTGGACAGTTTCCTTGCCCTCGAGCGTAGTGCCGGGGACATTATGTTCAACATCATCGTATGGGCGCCAGAAGTCCTTCTTGCCCTTTGCAGCACGGACTAACCAAGGAGGCAAAAGACCGCCTTCGATCTTCCAGGTCCAGTGATCCTTGTATTCCTTGTCGGCGGGCTTGATGCGGCCACCCGAGCCTTTTTCGACAAGCCACACGATCGTGTTGAGGATCATGTAAGAAATAATGCCGGCGATCAGACCATAGGCGATACTGTAGGTGAATGGCATGATGGCGATGGTCAAGAAGGCCGGGATCGCATCGCCGATGTATCGCCAGTTGATATCTGCTGCGGCTTTGGCCCTGGAGACATAATTGGTCAGTTCTTGTTCCTTGGTTGGTTTTGTGGAATGGGAGAAAACTCACATGAGGGAGCCGACGATGACGAGAACCGTTCCCGTAGCATAAGGTGGGATGGAGGCAAAAATGGGGGCGAAGAAGATAGAAATAAAGAAGCAGATACCGGTGGTGATGGCCGTGAGACCGGTGGCGCCTCCTTCTGAAATACCGGCACCGGACTCAATGTAGGCCGTCACTGGCGGAGTGCCGAACAACGCGCCGATGGAAATGCCAAAGGCATCGACCAGGTATGCAACGGCAGAGCCCTCGAAATCTTGTGTCTTCTCGTCAATGGCACCGCAGAATCGCGCCATCGAATACAAAGTACCGGTACAATCGAGGATGTCGACGTAGAGGAAAGTGATAAATGCAAGACCGAATTGGCCTCCGTACCCGGAAATATCCCATTCCTGAACAGTCAGGATGTTCTTGATGGGGTGGAAGGTGACGACTTTTTTGAAAAAGTCGAACATGTCGTTGCCCAGATCGGTATAAGGGAAGTAGGTAACGGGAGTGCCGCGGGGCCAGGAGATGATGCTGACGAGCAAAATGCCGAAGATAATGGCTCCCTTGACGCGGAACATCATGAGCAAGACCGTGAAGACACCGCCGCAGAAAATGCCAATCCACATTGTTGGGTTGCGCATTTTGTACGCGGATGGGCAGAGGCCGGTTTCGTCGAGAAATTCGGACTTGCAACCGGCGAGTTCGAGAGGAGTGGCTTGCGCGCCCGTGACAGCTCCGATACCAGCGCTGTAGGTCAGCCCGATCAAAGTCAGGTAGAGACCGATGCCGACACCTGTGGCCAACTTGATGGATGCAGGGATGGCTCGGGCAAGCCATTGTCGTAGACCAAGAATAGTGAGGCCGACGAAAACGAAACCCTCGACAAAGACGGCGGTGACGGCTACTTGGTACGGAACAAGGCCGGATCCGTGGTAACCCACCACGGTGTAGGCAAAGTAGGCATTCAAGCCCATGCCGGGAGCCAGAGCAATGGGCATGTTTGCGAAGAGACCCATGCAGAATGTGGTCAGGGCCGAGATGGCGGCCGTGGCAGTGACCAAGTCCCGTTGGACATCGGCGACGCAGAGCATATAGTCGGGGTCGCTGTCACACAAATCGGGACTGTCAGGCGGGCAGACACAGGTACCACCAGATTGCGAGACGATAGTGGCGTTGACTGAGATGATGTAGGCCATTGCGAAAAAAGTAGCTAAACCAGCACGGATCTCGGTGAAGAAGTAGCTTCCTTTGCGTTCTTTGGGGTGACCGGAGCCATCAAGACGAAACCGTCTGCCCACGAAGGAGCGCGCAACGGCCAAGTTGGTGTTGTGAATCCATTCGTTGATGCCCATAATGGCGGTGGTGGTGGTGATGGTGGTCGCGGAGGTATAGAACGGATTGGAGAGGATAGAGAGAAAAGGTCTCGGTGCTGGAGTCGAGGAGATTGAGAGGAATGATGAAATGATATATACATATCCCTTGAGATATAGATCTCCAGATATCAATCAGAGATATGCTACAGGTCTGGTGTAAGGCTGGGCTCTGAATGGCCGAGCGGAAGCTGAAAAGCAGATGGTACGATAAGGCTCTGGGTGGCTCGCATGTGGGTAGACGGAGCGTGGAGCATCTTCCAGTGGATCTGAGGGAGGGGGAGGTACCCGAGGGCGGAACGTGAGTGGTGGGGGGAACCTCATGCCAAGGCCAGAGGCGGGTTCCGCTTGACCTGAATCTGATCAGATGGGGGTCGCTCTACCTTGGCCTTCCCCTTGGCGATGCTTTTAGGAGGTTGGCGCCTTGGCCAAGTGATAGCAGGATGCCAGTCGGTTGGCTGAAATTGCCAAAGTTGCTTCTGGCTCGCTCGGTCAGTGTCTGGGGTTTCGGAGCCCGGCGATGAACTTGATCCCCCTCTGCTGCTGCTGGAAGAAACAAGCGAGCAAACAGCCAAAGGTCTCCGGAAGAGGGCGTCTCCCTGTTATCATTCCCCAGTCCGTACGTATAACGGCCTCAAACCTGTACATATGTACCTACCTTTCCTCGTACATGGTGATTGTTCTGCTTCGGGATCAATCTCCATCTCCCTAGAATGGGCGTTTCGGCCTGGTCTGTGTGTACCTTCTATCTCCCCTTCTTTTAGTTAATAATTTGTGTCATTTTGTGTCACCCCGTGGATATGGACATCCCCCGAATGCCGAGTGAGGTTGCAGTTTTTCAGAAAATTTTAACCTTTGTGGAGATTTCTCGAACGGCCAGAATAGCCTGAAGCAGGGCCCTAGGGCCGAGCATTCTGGTGGCTGAGAGACGAATCAGCACGAGATGTGCACGAGGGGGGAAAAAAGACCACGCGACTCGTTTATCGAAAGAATCAAAGTTGATCCAGCTGTGGATTTGACGTCAAAGATGAGTATCAGATATGAGGTACCGAATCATGATTGGCATTCTCATTTCTCTGACATTTTTTTCCCTCTTCGGTTGAGTTGCCATAATCGTTGCTCTGTCGGTTAACCTGCCCTTGGAACAAATCGGTCGACCTTCCCCCTTCGTCTCGGCCTAATACCTTTCCGTTGTCGACGGACGGGACCAGAGGGCTTGCCATGGCGCACTATTAACATCATTTCATCTCCAAGTCTCCTGGCGGCGTGCCCTCGTGCGAATCCCTTGCCTTTGGATGAGCGTTGTTCAAAAATGCCATCCATTACATCTCACGTTCAGGTTCAGCCACAGCGACGACTTATCCGCTGCCCATTTGATGCTGTGGTGCAATTAGAAGGTAAATGTCCACGATGATCGGGCGAGCACAATGCCCAGTGAGGAAAATCATGGTACTGTTCCCTAGGATTCATGAATCCGCATCTATGCCCGTTCCCCACACGCTACATTCCCTAGTGAATCGATCACCAGTCGTGGATGTCGCCGTGAACCGCACGCCTGACTTGAATGGGCTAGGAAAACGTTCATTAGGTTAACAGAGTCTCTGAATCCGGACAGGACAGCAATCCACATCATCTGCCAGGTCATCCGCCATTGGCTATGTTGAGAGCCCTTGCAATTGGAATGTCGACGCTTCTCGGGCATGGATAAGTATACGAAGGCCATAACGGAGCCATTAGGGGAATGGAACGGATTTGATGCGGCTGGAGAGTGAAATCTTGAATATTCAATTCCTTCAGGATTGGTCAGCTGGTCATGCAGAGAGCACAGCAAGGGCAAGGTCCTAGAGAAGAAGCAACCCAAGGAAGATTCAAGAGCACACACCAGATTGAAATATCGACCGCCGCGTACGAAAAAGGAAAATGGGAAAATGGAAAAAAAAAAAAAAAAAACCTTATCACTTCCGGACCACCGATCCGAACACAACACCCAACAAAAACCCAATGATTCGGAGATTTGACTGCCATAACGACTTCACTCGACTCACTTCGTTCTGCATGAACAACGGCCGTATCTGCATGGTTCCAGTCGAAATATCTGGCCCTTCTCTTCACTATGAACGCAATACCGCACTGGATCTAGTCACCGAAAAAAGAGCCAAGCCGATTATTCTCTAATATACCACGTCGAGCCATGTCCACATATACGCATGAATACATACACATCAACACCACGTGGCGATTCCTCCACCATGAGCGGAGAACTGGGAGGGAAGAGAGAGAACTCACTGGAGGGAAAGTGCAGTTATACCTATTATATATCCAATCCAAGAGCATGTGCTACGCCTGAAATACAGTCACGCGCTTCTTCCTTCAAGACAGAGCAGTCGGATGCGGATGTAGTCTCCTCAAATAAATCTATTTTCACTATAGCATCTATAGAAAACCCACGTGAGCGGGCGTTGGGACACTGATAGTTACCGGCTAGCTACCCAGTAAGCTATCTATGCTATCGCCATGGCTATGCTATCGTGACGACAATGCCCCAAATGATATAATATGCAAAATGCAGAATACAATGCTAGATGTATATACACTTGCACCCATGCCATTTTTGGCCCTTTTGGGAACTTGCTGCCATTGCGTTCCTTTCGTTGGCTCGTGATGCTTTGCGCCGCCGTGGAAGACATGTTCAAAATTGGGTGGAAATCGGACATCGGAAGCACGTCGGGATCGTATGCGGTAGCGAGGAAGAACATTAGTCGCGCGCACTACGAACTCATTCGTTGTAATACAGTAGAGGCTGGGCGGTGAATGAGTGGGAATTCTGAGTCCCAAAGGCGACAAGATTTCGAGGACGCGAGATCCTAAGCTGTATTGTGACGGATCGTTGTTGTGGCTGAGATAGCTTAATTCCACCATCGTCATTTTGTGGGCCGAAGATTGGGTACATCGGATCTTCTCTCAACGGCCATCCAACCAATTCAATCCACAACGTCAGCTTCGGTGTCTAGAAATTTCAGGTTGAATTTGAGTCTGAGAATATTTCGGCGGATCCCCATCAGCCAGAGCAAAGCCTCACTCATCACTTTGCATGTCCATTTTGAGTTTTTCCTAATCCAAACTCCGTTCTCATGGCCACACCCAATTTTCTAATGGCCTCGATGATTTTCTCCGCCGGCGCAGCGGCAAAGGTCGTCCGGAAAAATAGTTCGGTGTCACTGCCCCTCTGGGCTCTGAACCAGGACCCTTTGGCGCACAAGACGCCTTGATCGACTGCCGATAGGAAAACCGAATCCTCAATCTCCAAAAGTGTGGCGTAATCGATTCCTTTGGATTTAGATTGTGCTTGGTAGAGTGGATGTTTGGTCATGTCCACCTTGATCCAGTGGAACATACCGGCCTTAGGCGGGACCCAGCTTGCGACTTCGCTGGGCAGATGCGATTCACACGCATTGACTATGATATCTCGTCTCCGGGTGTACTCTGCACGGACGTACATAAGCCACTCTAGAAAGCCCTTGTGACCCCAATTCTCCTCCAGAAGGTTGTAGAGAACAGTCATGGTAAAGCCGGCGGGGTTTTGGGCGCTGACCTCGTTGTGGCGGATGAAGCGTTCAATGACTTGTGGTGATCCGGTGACCCAGCCGCAGCGGCTTCCTGGAGCAATGATCTTGGAGAACGAGTCTAGGCGGAGAACTCGACCCGAGGTATCGAGAGAGAGGTAAGAGGGGGCGAGGTGGGAGAGAAAATCCGCCACTGGGACGGGTTTGAATGGCTTTGATACGTTGTGTGTTTGGCCAGAGACGTATGGCTCCATTTGTAGGAAGTAATAGGGTTCGTCTTCGAGGATGAACAAGTCGTGTTTTTCGGCGACTGCGTAGAGATCTTTTCTTCGTTGAACCGGTTGCGTACTGGCTGTGGGGTTCTGTCCAGTTGGTACAGTGTAGACCAGAAACGGTTTTGGTGCCCTCCGTGCAGATTCATCCCAGGTGGAAAGAACACGATCCAAATCATCCGGAAGCATCCCATCAGCATCCATCTTGATGCCGAGCATTTTGCAACCGAGAGGAGTGACTGTCTCAATGGCACTGCTGAAGGTATACTCCTCCGTGATGACATAGTGGCCTCGTTCGGCGAACATGCGGAGTGAGATTTCCAGAGCAGAGGTGCTCCCAGTTGACAGACAGATCTCCCAGTCGGAATACGGTGGATTATGAACGATTTCGGTGTGTTCTGTAATGAATCGAAGCAGGGCCCCTGGGCCCATGGACTGACCATAATTGAGAGCAATGGAGAGATCGAATAGGGATTTTCCATCCCTCGCGTCATGCTTGCCAGAGGAGAAAATTTCCCCGGATATGGCGGTGTCAACCTCGGAAAATTGAGGTGGTAAGGGTAGTTTGGCACTGATTTGCTCAAAGGGAAAGTAGTCACTGGGATATACTTAGCTGACGCAGAGACAGTACAGGTCCTATAGAGCCCACCTGGAAGGTAATCCCCCGCAAAGGCTAATCGTTTCGGGTCGAAAGTATTTCATTGCGCCTTTCAAAGAAGACGGTTGTCTGCTCTTGCTTTCGGTAGTAAGACGATGGTCAAATCTTTTCGCTTTCGGCTTTTTAAGGCAGCCTTTGCTTTTGAACATAGTGGCATTGGCAAAGGCAGCAACGGCGGTGGATGGCGGTTGAGATTGTTGCCGATGTGGTAATACATGATCGACGGTGAATCTTGGGTGAGTTTCACTCTTGGTCAGAACAGGATCGGAAAGGACCACAGAAGATGTGTCGGTGACAGCTTCAACCTCAGCGTGGGGAGCCATGTTGGTGTATCTGGGGCGGTGTATCCAATCTAGGGATGAGGCGGAGAAAAGCGTTGAAAGAGATGTACTTGAATGTAGCTATGGGGTGTGGGATATTGGGAGAGAGGTTAGTCACGGTTTCGAGGAGGGTGGCCGGGAGCGGGCTGGGGTGGTCCTGTGATGGTGGTATGGAAAGCAAAATAGCCAGATTGGTAGTTTATCGAGAAATGAAGAGAGAATGAAAAGGAGACGGATGGTTTTGTGGATGGGAGAGGGTGGGAAAAATGCGCTTATCGTCGGCCTGATCAAATGAGGTCCAGATCCACCAATGAACAACCGCCAGATCCGTGACACTATGCCCTATGCGTCATGGCGGCCCCGTGACCGCGCCTTTGTCGACTTGTCATTATAAAGGGCGTCCTCCCTCATGCCATATCAGAACGGTAATTCAGCAAGACTAGGGCAAGCCTTCATGCTAGCATGTAACATCGGCAGCATCGACGCATTGTTAGCCTGTTGCTTTCGGACCCAAACCAGAGTGAGTACCGAGAGCTGATGGTGCAAGGGTGGGACTGATCTGGGTTATAATGAATGACGTGTTGCTGTTTCTCGATAGACCACATGCGACTTCAGTTCTGCATTCGGCTCTCTCTCTCAATCACTCATACTCTTTCATTCTTCTCCCTCGCTCACAGGTTGCCCTCCTCCTTTTTCCGTATGCCAACCAATGCACTTCCCATAATCAGACAGCCCCCATTGAATCCTTCCTTTGCAGTCCATCTCCCGCACTATCATTCCATTCCCCCGCCTGTCCTCATGTACAGTTTTAAGAGTCAGAAACGAATAGACCTCCACCCTTTGAACTTGGTCCTTCACCTTCCTCCTCCCATTACCCCTGTCCACCTGGCCTTCACAACTGAAACTGGCCGTGCGCGAGGAATCGGCAGAAAATGAACTCGGGTGGCTTGCTGACCGAGAGCTACCTTGATTCTCTCGCACCATCTCCTTTCTCTTAGAAATTGTCGTTGGAGATGCCATTGTGGCCGGTGGGCACGGCGCTGGGATAACCGTACGCGCTGGTGGCATCGTGTTCGTTCGCGTTCATGGCGTGACTTTGGTTCAATAGTTCGTTGGCATTCTCGGATTGCCCGGTGCTGTAACCTGGGGCTGTCCCTGTCGGGGCATTGGCCTGGACATTGCTGCCCCCGACTGGCCCGCCGTACCCGCTGCTGGCAGGTCTGTTCTGGTTCTCGCCCCTTGTGGATTGGGTCTCATCCCAATCAGTTCAAATGTTCAGATTTATATTCCCGTCGAGCTAGCAAAGAGAAAGGGGGGTGGAAGACGGGGTGGAAGACGCCAAACTTACTTCGCGGTATTTGGACAAATAAATCTTGAGTGCTTCCGCATAGTTCTCGAAACCAAGTGAAGTCATGGCAAACAGAATATCTTCTCCATTGACCGTTTTGCGTTTTTCTTGTTGGCATTTCTCGGACGCTGTGCAACGTCAGTCCAGTGCCCGCCCCTGCGGGAGAATCCTAAGAGAATAAAAAGTTTACCTTCGCTGGTGATGAAGGATATGAACTCGCTCACACATTCCTGCATACATTCTTTGGCCTCTTTGGCGATTTTGGCGTTCTCGGGCAGTGCTGTCTTCATGATTCGGGCAACTGGCGCAAAATTTCGTATGTTAGCATCTGACATTGCCGAACCGGACGACGATAACGAGGATCGACCTCCATGCTGCCTGGTTGAAGAAGGAGAGATTTGGGGATCGTGATCCGACGACATGATGACGGTAATGTACTCGTTGGAGAGGCAGTTTGATAATGTCCTCTGAGTGGTCGAGATACCGCACCAGTGAGCGCAAAGGAGGAAGCTGCGATGCAGATCATGGTCTGGGGAGAAGAGAAGCGACGACGAATAAGATGATGCTGGCTAAAGAGCAGGTGCAGCGTCACACACTCGGATTCGTACAGCGCGAAAATCAAACGTTCCTGGCGTGCGCAAAGACGCATGATTGTAACGCAAGGGTCGAACAAATCAAATTCCAGGCGAGCGAACAAGACATATCGAGTCGGCCGGCACACTGGAATGATAGAAGAGAAAGAATTGAAATGAAACACAGGGAGAACCTACCATTGGCGATGGGAAGCCATCGGTCTTGTTCCTTAACCTCGAATTCACCCAAGCCGGTGCCTTGTGCTCCTTCTTGTTCGCGATCCATATGATCCTGCTCTTCTCCGGACTGTGCACTTTGTTCGACATCGGGCTCCTTGGGTGGGGAGGTCGACATGATGTAGTTTGAGGATAGCCGCAGCGGCCGGATTGCAGGGCGAGAAAATGTTTGGCTGGCAATGACCACGTCACTCACTGGGGCGGCACCGATGCAGAATGCCTAATGCTGGCCTGCGTCACTTTCGGCGCAACCGGTCAGACGATCGCCTTCTCTTGGTCTGTTCGTGCCCAAAATGATTTCCCACTCGGCAAGCTTCTCAAGTTGACGAGGGTTGGGTGGAGGCCGATGTTTGTCGCTGGCGTGGGTGACGGCGGGATTGTGAGGCGGTCTACACGAGGGAAGGACGAATGACAAATTGGTGCCGGAAGAGCAAAGCAGACAAGTGGCCGAATTCGTGAAAGGGGAGGGACAGCGGACAGGAGACAATAGACAACGCGCAGGTGGCAATGCGACGCGCAGATGCGATGCGATGCGATGCGATGTCTATGCGACGAGGGCCCGGTCGGACAGCTGCAGATTTTGGCTAGGTTCAGGTCTGGTCAGCCGGGAACATCGCCATTGGTGCAGAATCGAGACATGAAACTGGATTGGAGACTATCGAGATCTAGGAAAGACCATCGAAGGTGCAGGTGCTGGGAGCTGGGGGGCCGGAGGATGGACGGCACATACAATAGCAACATGCGTCAGGTAAGGCGAAGTGGAAGACGAGACGAATGATGTTGTTGGCTCTGGCGATTAGGTTGCGCAACGATTGGATGGAGGTATGTGGACAAGCAGCGATGTCTGCAGTATGCGGTCAGTGTCAGATTTGGCGACTAACTAGCATCTTAATAAGGTCGGTCGGTCGTTGGATGAGGTGTATCTACCAAATAAGAGCGGGAGTGAGAGAATGCGTACAGTAGTGTTCAGAGTAGTGTATGTACGGCGCAGTCGAGATGGGGACAAGGTTGATGCGGCGCTGTGTACGAGAGACACCGGACACGGTACCGAGTACCTGGCGGAGGCAGAGGAGCGGTTTTGTTGTTTTTGTTGGTGGATGAAAAGAGCAAGATTCGGGACAATGGGCGATGATGGTTGGCTTGTTTGGTGGAGGTGTGGAGGAGGAGGAAGCCAGTGGATGGACACGGATGAGAAGTGCCAGGCTGCGGGCAGCAACAAAGTACAAGCTCCAAATGGGTGGTCATTTCAGATTCACGGTACCTCACATTTCAATTACCGTCACCACCGGCTCCATCAAATAACATCATCGTTGCAGGCCTGATTGATGGCTTCATTCCTTCTCTCACTAATTAGTCACCTCCTGCAAGACATCCCATCCCTCCCGCCCTGCTCCATCAGCTTCACCCGAACCATTCCCCTGGTACGCTTTCAAGAAGATAGCAGATTGATTTCTTCTCTCAGGACGAATTTCGGCTCCACGGTCATTCCCTCACACAACAACTACTCTTCCGCCATCACCGCCTTTACCGGCTTTTCCCAAACTTGTCAACCCTGCATCCGATGACTACCTCTAGAACCCTACCGTCTCAGCTCCTTAAATTTTGCAACCCGCCGTATACCCAACCTGGAAACGAGAGACGAGAAACCATTTTTTCCAAGCCCTGATTTCATCATAGCCGAACCGGAACCCAAGTCGCGGTGAAGCCACCGCCTCTCCTACTGTCCTCTTTGTCCACTTTAACCTTCAGCGCGCTGATCAAGAGCACAATACGGATCGTGTTGACCGTCACAGTGGAAGGTTTCAGAGCCCGTTGATAAACAGTGTATCCTTCATTTTCCATTGTCGTGCCAGTCACCAACCAGCACAAGAGAAGAACCCTGTCACATGAGAGGGCCATGACGCGGTCTGACACACCAATCAACGAGCTATCGCGTCAAGCGACTGTCATAGCATTGGGCCGTGTTGTCCGAACCGATGCAAATTTGCTTCTGCTCCCCCTCATGCATAAGCGCGGATAGAATCCTGCAGCCCTGTCTTGCAATGCCCTTCCTGTCTTTTGACAGCTATGGTGTGGACAATCCCGTTAGCTGACAGCCAACAGCCCTAGACGTACAAATAGGGACAGTGGGACCCCCCAAATACACCGAGTCTGTTCTGTGACTGTGCCTCATATTCTTGTATCCGAACACAGTTCACATTACGCAGACAAAAGCCCAGGATCCATGGTTCCCTGTTGCTGTCATAAATATAGCATGGAAATAGTCTAGTGTGTTGGTGTGGCCGCTGCCTTTCCCCTCGCCTCACATTGGGCAGACACGCATATACATACATACACGACGGATTCGCAAACCCTCTTTCCGCTTAGATACAGAAATCGTTTCCTACCCACGTGTTAGTCATGATGTTGATGTTGATGTTGTCGCCAACGCACAGCATATTGCGCATCCCGATTGGGTTTGGCGCGTTCACGTGACTGCCTGCGACAGCCTCAAGTGCTGCGCTTGTAGATAGGCAACCAATTCAATCTCATTGACTCACGCTGTTGGTTCAAGACAGCACACCTCCCGACCGATGCAGCTTCCATCTCTCGCTTGGCCGGCCTTGACCTGATCGGTCTATCGTGTCCCGAATTCGTGATCGTGGTCATGGAGCAGTCAGGTCTCCACATTAGTAGTTTTGAGGCCCGGAAAAATTTCAGTCATCCTGAACTGCCCAGGTGGAAGTCCACTGCTGTGGGCCTTAGGAGGCACAGAAAGCCCTTTGCCGGCTTTTCAAAACAGGCACGGCGAGAATGCAGAGATCAAAGGAGTCATATGTGATAATATAATGATTCAGCGCAGGACAAAGCTGCTGTTATGCAGCGAGCTGGCTGGCTGGCTAGCTACCTTGGATGCCTGTTTGTGTAAAATAGCGACTGAAAAGTAGAAACAAAAAGCATAACCACGAGGATGAAAAGGGGTATCATATCATGCAAGGAAAGAAACGCAAGACAAAAGCCCTTGAAATAGCAAAAAGACATCCCTTCCCGTGAATTCTTGCGCAACGTGTTTGTCCTCCCTGAATCTCGCTCGAAACCCAGCGAGTAACAAATGGCGAGAATTCTTACACCTAAGATACCCAAGAGAAAATAAAATTTTGTGTGCTGGTGGCTGACTTTCCCTAGCAAGAAAGATGACTCGTAGATTCGATCCGGATTTCCAGCCGCACATTCTGGAACATCCTTCAAATCGTTCCTTTTTGACGCTGAGATCTCGACGACGATCAGCGAGGCGCATATCGCCTCCGCCGATCCACTCGCTTATACATAAAGTCTCGATTGTCGCCGGCGGCCACGCGCATTTGCTGTCCCGGTTCAAACGGCTCTGCGCGAGCGTAGCGATCGTTGTGCTCCACGAACTCAACATGTTGCTCGGGAGGATGCTCAAAACCGTCGTAATCGCCAACCATCCGATAGTCTCTGGGAACGGCCTGTACATAATCCTCGCGGTCGGCACCTCGCTCTAGATATCGCGAGTCATCCATGTGTCTTCGGCCCTCCTGGTCTGGGTTCTCAAGGTAACGGCGAGTCGCCTCGTCCATTCGAGGTGGATACTGCTCCATGGGGGCTTGTCCGATAGGCTCGTATCGTCGTCGGGCCCGATCATATTCGTCCTCATAATAATAACGCCTTTCATATGGAGGGTTTGCGTATGCCACTACCCTTTCTTGCACTGTTCCGCTCTCGTCTTCAAATCGAATTCTATGCGGTCGTTCAGGGAGACGCTCGAGGTGTTCACAATCAACGGCCCTGCCACGGTGGACTCCTGCGCCATCTTCACTAGCACCATGTGGAAAAGTCGAGCTATAGCCATTGCGGCTTTGATATTCGCCGCTGGCTAAACCGGGCCGCCCGCTCTCCCGAATCGGTAAAGAAGGTGTACGTCTCTGATGGGTGGAGGTTTGGTCGTCGATACGTGTACCGGTACGAAAAGGGGACTGATTCTGCTGGGATGGGTCACTAACCGACCGTGGCCTGGGTATGTCGAAAGCCTGACGCTCGGCCTGACGGCTGACAGAGTCGTTTTCAACGACTTCATTCCTGGTAACTTCTTCACCAGCCATCGGATCGAAGTTATTGAGAAAATCCGCTGCTGCACTTGAACCCGCCTCATCCGGTCCACTTCGTTGGCCTTCCGCTCGACTGAGCGATATTCCTGTTTCTGATTCTCCCGCTTGTTGCAATGAACGTCGACTTGTCGCCTTGCTCCCGGGCCGGGATTCAGAAACTACTCCGACCGTCGTCCCGCTGTTTATAGCTAGAGGCTCACGGTATGAAAACCTGGAGGATCCATCACCGTAAGAATGGACCACCGAATCATGAGAAAACGGCATCTCTCGATCCCGCACCTCCCAGACTGGTTCATACTCAGATTCTGGATAATGGTATTCCCGACGCACTGGAGATCGAGCTGGGTAGTAAGACACAGCTCGGTATCGTGCGCCGTCTCTGGGTGAAGAGGACATGAAATATCTTTCTTGCGGATATCGACGTGGAACTGCAGGTCTGGGGGGCCAGGGGTCATATTCATCTTCCATGGCATGGACCGAGCCTTCAGACTTGGCGATATGGGATCTAGGGCCACCACTCCGAATGCTACCATGGCCAGTACCCGGACGCACACGTTCCACAAATGGCTGTTCCTGTGCGAAAGGAACCTGAGAGTCGTTCTGGTGGGCAAATTGTCGGGTCCGAACAATATAGGGTGGAAAATAGCTGGGAAATGCTTCTGCTATAATTTGCAACTTGTCCTGGTCGACTCCGGGTAAATGAAGGAGAGGTCTGATGGCTGCCTCGCTTGGCAACCATATCATGTCTTGCTTCCAGTCCAACCTCGCCGACTCCAGAGTTGCCCTGGACGACAATGGCAGACCGCCAAGTCCACTACTCGAGGCATCAATGTCCAAGTGGGCCTGCTGAAAGTGATTCAACAATTGGGGGAGAGAATACCAGTTCTCGGCCAGCCCATTTCTCTCCATAGACACTGCCCTGGAGGCATTAGAGCAGATTTTGCACCGCAGATCTGAAAGTCCCCGCAGAGGCTGCAGTTCAGGGCGATTTGTGACGGCATCGGCAAACAGAGGCAAACCAGGCTCATCACTGAATTTCTTCAAAAACCTCAAGTTGATATGTTGAATAACAATGAAAAGTCGAACCGGGTTCGAAAGGTCCCGAATGCCATCGGTTCTCTGCCAAAACTCGACAGCTAATGCAGCAACTTCGTTGGCTTGATTCTGGTATCCACCGACGGTCGATGACCTGATTTCCACCGTAGGAGACCAGGCTTTGGATGACGGAGACGCGGGCCGCGGAAAGTTTGGACTGATGCTCTGGATTCCCTCGTGGATCCATGGAATGTTTGGAGAGGGATCAAACGGCGGTTCGGAAGGCCAATCAGACTTCCAATAAACCACGGCATTGCCATGGCTCAGTGCGCTGGTATGTTTTGCGGCGTAGTGCTGGATGACTGCTTCAAATGAGAAGAGTTTTTGGTTCGCGTCGCAGACTCTGCAGAGAAAAAGTTCCTTTCCAAATCGTTCGGTATGCGGTTTCACAAACTCCTCAAAGGCCCACTTCATATCGTCCAGTCTTAATTTCCTGCAAGCTAGAGATTCTGGGTCCTGGGGAAAGGCTGTCCCTTTCAGTTTTAGCATTGCATCTTCCTGGGTAATTGCCTCATCGAATCGTTGCCGCACATGGCAGAGAACCTCGGCCGCAAACTTACTAGCAGTGAATTTGGTAACGCCATGCCCGTCCGACCAGGTTTGGTGAATGAACTCTCGGGCATATTTTTGGAGTTTATCCCGGCTGGGAACCTTCAATTCGAGCCACATATGATGGACATTTTGTTCAGCTACTCGCTGTTCTTCTTGTAATTGTCGAAGCTTCTCGAGCTGTATTGCCGGGTTGCCCAGGGAAGCATTGTGAATTTTCTCTTTATGCTCAGCTTCTAGACGTTGCATAAGAAGGCGTGGTTTCAAAATCTCCCAGGCTTTGTCGTTCAGGGGTTGGGAGATTTTGATTGCCGCCTGGAACGATTCCATATAAGTCAAAGTTGAAGGCATGATCGGTGGTTCCAGTGCCTGGCATCGTCTCTCGATCTCCCTGCGACGTTGGGCCTTGATTTGTTCTGCATCTTGCTGACTTCGTTCCATTCTCTGACGTGAAGGGGGCCGCATTGAAATGGGGCTGGAGGGATCCTGTTTGTGGACGCTTCCGGTGGTACCGGATATCTGCTGGCCTGGAACTGGTGGGAACGATTGCAAGGCCATGGAGGCCTGTTGGTTTTCCGGTAACCCTGCGGGAATGATTATCAGTTTCGCAAGGATGCTGGGATGGAGTCTACAAAAAAAAGGAATAGTTCACGAAATTAAAAGGAAATGTCGCTTACCGTGCGACTTTTTAATGGGGTTAGGTGGCCTGGGAGAATAATAGCCAGACGAGGTGGCTGGAGGCGTCGATGCTTGCTGAGCTTGATAAGATGATTCGACTGGATGGGCCCGATATCCACGGCCAAAACCAACTTCGGGAGAGGAGATAATATTGGTGGGATGCCCCTGACTCGTAACAGATATCCTTGAAAGGCCTCCTTGAAGTTCCCATTGGTCAAAACGGGCAGCATCGGCATTCTGCTGTTGTCCCGTGCTCTCCAGGCCTTTATACCATTCTTCTGCCGCCGGAATTCCAAGTGCTTGAGCACCATTCAGTCGAGATTGAAGTTCCTCAAGTTGAGGTTTGAAATAATACTTAACAAGGGTTAGCCGGGGTGGAGGCTCCGCCTGCTGTAAGACGACAAAGGGGATATAGTTGAGGTCCGAGGTAAAGATTGCGAACGGTAGTCCGGGCTTTAAGACCGAAACGCTCGAAAAGAGCAGTTCGGTTTCCTGGCCAAATTAATGAAAGGTTCGCGCTGGGAGACGTGCGACCAACTGACCTTGATGAGTCTGGGCTCCAAACAACTCCCACAAGACTTGACGCGAAACGGCCAAATGGTGCGAATGGTCTCCGGTCCAGGTCCGGCCGTCCATGGCGAGGATATCAAAGATTGATCTCCTTTTCTAGTCTTTTTGCCGCAGTATTGACAGAAACGGCCTCGGACGAGTCTCCACATTTCGAGCTCGGTCATATCATCCATCGGTTTGGGGAATCCTTGGAGGAATGTTTTTCGTGACGTGGCCCAAATTAGATCCTGACTCCGGATTGTCAAGTGCTTTACCTGGCCAGAGGCTTGGGGTAAAGATGTTGTGGGATCAAGAAGCGAACGGAAAGAGCGATTGACACGAATCAAGCGCCCGAGGGAAACAGGATCAACAAAAGTGAAAATATGCTGCAGGATTTCATGAGGCAAATCCACCAGCGTCAACGGATCGCGCAGGACAATGTCTTCATATTGTCCTGGGCGGGTACCACCTGGTACCATTTTCGACATTCTGGGCCTTTTACTTCCGGTTTCGGCGTCGGGTGATGTGCCGGTCAATGGACGCTCAGTTGTCCTGGGACCTTGGTTGAAGCTGCTGTACGGCTGGTCCGTAAACTCTGCGGACCATGTTCTTTTCCTTGGGGACTTCGCATCTCCGCTCGCTGGTTCGTGACCGGGATCCATCATGAAAAGCGTCAGAGATCATTAATGAGAAAGGAAAAGAAAATAAGTAAAAGACGATACCAACTCTGAGCACAGAAATATCAGCGCGCGAAGCTGATATCCCAGTGTGCTACAAAGTCTGGATCTGAGGAAGACAAAATCGGAAACATCTTGAGCAGTTCCATCCGTAGGGAGAAATTGACGGTAGTTTGGCAAAGGAGCTTTGCAAAACAGTGGCTTCGTGACGGTCAAAAAGGTTGCGCTCGGATAGCTGGAAGCCGAATAGGAATAATATCATGGAGACATGGGTCTGGAACCTCTTTTCAAGTCCTTTTTGGATCGATCGATGCCAGGATATTCTGTGGCCGCAGTGAAATAAGTCCTCCTCATGCGGATGCGGGGAGGGGGGCACGGTGTAGGATATGGAATCGATATCTGTAGAAGGGGAATGTTTCACCAAAAGAGGTTCCCGGGGATGAGTAGACGGGGCGATCGGATATGTGACTCGCGCCAGGTGTGTTACCAGTGGATGTTGATGTTGCGCTTGATGTTGTGAAAGAGTTGAAGTACAACAAGCTTCAAGGTGTTTGCGTTGCGAAGGGAGAGGGTCCGCGCAGTTTTTTGAGGTGCAGGCTGCCAGGTGAGGAAAAGAGGATATTGTCTGACAGAGTACAAATGCAAGCTTGAAGGGCAAATAACGAGTTAACTGACTGTCAGACAGCCCACGTATTTCCGCAGCCCCATTGATGACGGAGCAGGGCTTGGCGCCATCCACCTTGCTTTGCGCCATCTTCGGCCTGTACTCCAAATACCGATCAACGATTTAGGAAGAGTAAGCTGCCACTTGAGCTTCACCCATCACCGTTCCCAGGATTGATTCCGGACTCTTACCAAAAGATTCATAAATCTCGTACACGCTCGAGATACCAAGACGCATATTTTTGTCCAACTTGCGACGTTTCCCTGCCTTGGAAAACCTTCTACTAGCGGGGAAACAGGCACCAGGGCCGTCGTTGACCTCCTCTCAAATATTGCCCCCGATGGCCTCTCTTAACACGTCTACAAACGGTCCCTCTATCTCCAAAAGTTATCGATCAATCGTCAATGCCCCACCTCCCTCCGGTCCTGCCGCAGCTTCTCCCACCTACGGTCAATGGGCCGTCTTCTCCGTTTCAGCTCCGTTGGCCAATGCCTTTCAACAAGACGCGGGAAACAAAGAGAGTGTACTGAAAGTGCAGAGTACAGGAGAAGGAGAATTGGTTGACTTGGTAGACGAATTCTCTGACGGTCGGATTCAGTTTGCCTTTGTCAAAGTCAAAGACTCCAATACGGGGCTGCCTAAAAGTGCGCTCATTGCTTGGTGCGGTGAAGGTGTGCCAGAGCGAACCAAAGGATATTTCACCAGCCATATGACTACTGTCGCCAAATTACTGCATGGCTACCATGTTCAGATCACCGCCCGATCCGACCGAGACCTCACCCCCGAAGGCATAATCCAAAAGGTCGCTGATGCATCGGGTTCCAAATACTCCACCGGCAGTGCTGCTCCTCCCCCAGTCGCTGCTACCAAGCCGACCATCGCATCGAAACCGGTGTTTACTCCCACTCAGACTAGTGGAATATCAGGCGGATACAATCCTCTTGCGCGCCAGGTTCCACCGAAACGAGACACGGACGGTGATGAAGACGGTTGGGGGGCAGATGCTCCTCCAGTCACTCGAACACAATTGGAAAAAGTGCAGCCCGCTTACCAACCCACCAAAGTCAATATGAGGGAACTCACATCGCAAAAGCCTGCTCCGTCGGCGTTCAGCAACAGTCAAGCAGATGATCGGCCTGACGTGGTCAAGGGTGCATATCAGCCTGTGGGCAAAGTAGACATTGCCGCCATCCGACGCCAGGCTAAGGAATCTGGCACGTTACAAGATGACCGACCTGGGATCGTCAAGGGGGCTTATGAACCTGTTGGTAAAGTTGATATTGCAGCTATCCGGGCCAGAGCCCAGAAACCTGACGAATCATCAAGCTTTTCTCGGCCAGCTCCGGTCTCCAGCCCTTCCGCCGGTCCACCAGAAGAGCCCGAGATGCCTTCTCGATCGCTGGCGGAGCGATCGGCTGCTTTCGCCCAAGGCCCCGAACGTCTTACGTCTCTTCCTAAACCCAAGGTAGCCAACAAGTTCGGCGGGGGGTCGACGTTCACCGGCACCAAGGCCCCCGTACCCGGAGGATTTGAAGCTAAACCTGTGGCTCCTGCTCCGCCCGTGGGCACGGCCAGCAGAACCTTTGCCGATCAGGGAGGTAAAACGCCAGCGCAGATTTGGGCCGAGAAGAAGGCTCGCGAGAGAGGAGGTGATCCACCAGTGTCGCCGACCGGCTATGCTGGGCAACTCCCCATAACAACACAAAAGAGCGGTGGCGGGGAATGGAGGAGCAGCTACACAGGCAAGACCTGGGCGCCCGTACAGACCACACATACCGGTCGAAGCAGTATCGGTCAACACGTAACAGGCGAAGGTATGAAGCAGGCTGAGGAAGAAGAAGAACAAGCTCCTACGTCGCCGGCTGGTGGTATTAGTTCAATACGTGATCGTTTCAGTGGTGCTCCGCCAATGGGTGCTCCGGCGACGTTTGACCGGGCACCACCACCGGCACCAGAGCCAGATATCAGCAACAAACCCAATCGTGGCATCCCGATCCCAGGTTTGCCTGTTTCACGTCCGGAACCAGAGAAGGAAGAAGCATCAGCACTGCCTCCGCCACCACCTCAGCCGCGCAGCCCTACCCCACCTGCTCCTGAGATGCGAGCTGCTTCTCCCATTCGGGTGGCCATGCCGGTCAGTGCTTCGGCAAATGTGGCAGATGCACATGAAGAGCAATTGTCGCCGCCTCCAGCGATGCCAGCCGCTTCTATGGCCCGTTCTATGCCGACGCCTGCGGCAGAAGATGACGAACCTTCCCACGCGCCCGATCTAGGAAGAACCACGGCCCAGGCAGCTGCAGCAAGTACGTTAGGTCAACAAGCCGTGGAAGAAGCTCCCGCCGCGGTGTCAACAGCTAGTGGTGAACGAGCGCGAGCCGAATATGATTATGAAGCCGCAGAAGATAATGAAGTCTCGCTTCGTGAAGGTAATCTGGCCATTCCTTGCTCAGTATGAGATGAATTCTTCTGACGATTCCAGGTGAAATGGTGACTGATATCCAGCGAATTGATCCTGATTGGTGGCTGGTCAAGAATGAGGCTGGACAGGTACGTTACTTATTATGCTCCTGAGACGATCGAACGTTGATAAGGTGTATAGACTGGCCTTGTACCAAGTAATTACCTGACTGTATTGGATGATGACGATCAAGCCGATGCACCAGCTATCCCGGCAGCTGCAATGGAGCCAGCCCCAGCTGCGGCTACTTTGAAGGGTGCGACCGCAACGGCACTCTATGATTACGAAGCAGGAGAAGATAACGAACTGTCATTCCCTGAAAATGCGATTATCACCAATGTCGTAAGTGGCCCTTCTGATTTTCCCCTCTTTTCGAGTATCGCTGACGGATGGCACAACAGACATTCCCTGATGAAGATTGGTGGCATGGAGAATACCAGGGCAAGGCAGGACTGTTCCCAGCCAATTACACCAAATTGAACGATTGAGGCAAAAATATTCCTTTGAAGGCACGCAGGATCTCGAAGGGCATGGGAAAATATGTTTCCTGCCTGACCTAGACTAGATTGAACTGAAAAAAGGTATTTTTTTCTGCCATGATTCTCCACCTCTTACAACGACACGAGCATGCGCGTTTCCGTGGAGCGGGAATGACGACGAGGTCTATAAAAGATTTTCATAGGACCCGGAGAACGAGGCGAATCATAAGGAATCGGCTGCATGGTTGTTATGTGGGGATGCAAAGGCGGTGACCAGGAAGAGTTTAAGGCGCCTCGCTAGCCCGCTTCCAACAGCTTTTTTCTGCCACCTTCTGTCACTGCTTCCCCCAGACAAAAATTTTTCTACCGATGGTGTCAGAAGAGTTAAAAAAAAAAAAAAAAAAAAAAAAAAAAAAAAAAAAAAAAATTGGGTTCTCATGCAGCAAGAC